CCAATTTTGAGTTTTTGAGGAATTTCTTCGAAGTTGAGGTTCTCGATGATGAATGTCGAGAGCAAGTGGATTTTAAACAAAATTCTAAGGCAATACTTCGAAATCCTAATCTCGAGGTTTAAATCTCGAGATTACAATCTCGAGGTTGCCTCGAAGAATAATGGCGAAATCCACCTGCAAAACAAACCTCAGAATATCGAAATCTGCAGAATTTCAAATTGTTTGAACATCGAAAACTTTGGAGTTTCGAAAACCTCATAATCTCGAAAACTTGCTGTTTGAAAAACATCAGAACATCGAAAAACTCCTGAAACATTTATATAAGCAGGGAATCATTCAGAGATCCTTATAATGTAAAGCTTCGATGAACTGCAAAGGATGTCAAGATTCGAATTATGAGTTCCAAGAAACTGCAAACTTTGAAAGATTCAAAACATCGAGAAATTTTGAAAATCTCGAAATCTTCAGAATGTCGAGATCCAAAACATCGAGATCCCAAATGTCGAAATCCCAAAACTCAAAATTCCTAAACTCGAAATTCCAAATCTCGAGATTACAAACCTCGAGATCTTGATGTCGAGATTCAAATCTCGAGATCATGATTTCGAGATTCAAATCTCGAGATCATGGTTTCGAGATTCAAATCTCGAGATCATGATTTCGAGATTCAAATCTCGAGATCAAGATGTCGAGATGCAAATCTCGAGATCAAGATTTCGAGATTCAAATCTCGAGATCAAGATGTCGAGATGCAAATCTCGAGATCAAGATGTCGAGATGCAAATCTCGAGATCAAGATGTCGAGATGCAAATCTCGAGATCTCAAAAGTCGAGAAGAGGAAATCGAGTCCCTAAATGTCGAGATCCTGCAAAACGAAAACATTGATTTTTGAAAATCTGAAACCTGTTCTGAATAGCCCTGAAAGTCGAGATTCTCCCGTATCAGTTTCAAGCCAAAAACGTTTCTGCAGCAGTGGAAAATAAGGATTTCGAGATCTCAATGTAGAGATCTTCGAAATATAAAAATTGCAGAAAACGAAAAAAGAGGTATGCTGCTGGATCGTTTTTGAAAGGTGAGTCCAACAGTGTGATTTTTACAAAGTTTTGTTCACAAACGAGATTACAGGAGCAAATCTCTACATATAGAAAAACAGAAGAAAAAATAGAGCAGTTCTTCGTTAGATCCAAAAATCGCAGATATATCCAACCTGTTTCACGCCTCGGCTCTGATACCAAATGTTAATCCCAGAATACATATAATCGAACAATCATAGTAGTGATAAAGAAGCAGATAGAAAGATATCGACAAGATTGAACGCGAATCTGGTATACCGTATGAACCTGCCGCTACTCTCCCTGGAGAAGGAGAGCAGCGGCAACCCTAATTTCTCTCTATCTCGCCTCAGCGCCTCTAAAGCCTCTTTTTTTTATCAGTTTTGGTTCCCGTAAGTTAGCCTCCTTTTATAGGAGAAGTTGGCTAACTTACGGGTTACAAGGAAGCCCACGGGCTGATACACATTTGTGGGCCATATTACACGTTTAATTAATAACTACACAAATACAAAGATAACTAACTAGATTGAACACCATAAAATATTCCCAACAGAATCTGAAAGGCGTAGAACATTTGATGGTTCTAATTCAAATAGTTTGATTGGTATATTCAAGAAAAAGGTTGATTCTGAATCTGTTTTTTTTATTTTGATCTGGAAGATGGTACACTGTGTTCATTTTTTTGGAGGGATGGACAAATGAAATCTAATTATGAGCGATTTGGAGATCTAGTTGTGCATGATACAACATACAGGACTAAGAAATATGATATGATATGTGCTCCTTTTGTTGGTATGAATCACCATTGCAAAAATATTATGTTTGGTTGTGGGTTTATTCTTAATGAAAAAGGTGGAGTCCTTTACTTGGCTATTTCAAACATTTCTGAAATCTATGGGAGGTAAACATCCCATCACTTTCATGACAGACCAGTCTTTTTCGATGTCAGCTGCTATAAAATCTGTTTTCCCTACTTCGAGACATAGACTGTGCACTTGGCATATTGATGAAAAATCAAAGAAACATATCATGTTTCTAAGAAAGAAGTTGAATTTTGTACATTTGTTTGATCATGTTGTGAAACGATGCGATACCATTGAGGAGTTTGATTTCTACTCGACTGAGTAAGTTGTTTATGCTTATGTAGATTCTTTGTTAACTTGTGTAACTTGTATTATTGTTATATGTAACTGGACTTTGTTTTTCCATTACATTTCAGATTGAACAAACTTTATGACTGCAATTAGGCCTGTCAACGGGTCGGGTCCGGCTCAGAACGTAGTGTTCCAGACCCGAACCCACTAAGTTAATAATGGACCCGGACCCGACCCGTTTACCTGGCGGGTCTGAAAATTTGGACCTGGACCCGGACCCGGACCCGGACCCAACGGGTCTCGGGATCAGGTCGGGTAGACCCGCCCGTCAAGTATGATACACACACCATTATAAACTTTGTGAAAATATCAAGACATGTATGTGAAATATACAAGAAAGTGTATAAATTTAAAAGCAAAATATATCTTCACTTTTCAAAAAAAAATCAAGGTCTCTCATAGAAAATTAGTACTTCTATCTAATAAAGTATCGGTTCTTGTACATGCATATAGCTACACACTTTGCGCCGCTTTCTCTCGCACAAAAAACTCGTAAAATAAACTAGAAATTAAGTCATAAAAAGGTCTCTTGGACTACTAAGAATATAAAATCATACGTAGTATTATATATGATAATGATATAATAATAATAATAATAATAGTAATAAATATTAGTTTTAGGGTATCTTACTATCTTGATCAGTATCACTTATATAGTATTTATGTATTAATGTGTATATTTTTATTGAATAATCACAAATTCACAACTAATAACTTTATGTATGATTATGCATATATGTATATTAGTTTCTATATTTATTTAAAGTGTTATAACTAATCACTTTATGTTTGAGTGTATGTGTATACAAATAAGAAATTTTAAATGGGTCCGGGTCCTTAACAGGTCGGAATCATATGTACCATACCCGACCCGTTTATTTAAAATACTAATGGGTCCAGATCCGGGTCCGGGTAAACGGAATAAAATATAGACCTGTACCCATTAAAACACAACCGGGTCCGGGTCTAGACCCGACCCATTGACAGGCCTAACTGCAATGACAATGATTGGTTGAAGAGCTTGTACAGACATAAAGAGAAGTGGTGCTCTGCTTTTTCAAAGGATTATTTTTCTGGTGGCATATTATCTTCACAAAGGAGTGAATCTACAAACAGATCAATATCAAGAAGACTTTCAAAAACAACAACATTGTGTGATTTTTATCGGATGTTTTGTGATGTGGTTGATGAGTGGAGGTCAGAGAAAAATGGTCTTGATTTCAGATGTTTGGAAGGTACTGTTGAGATGGTACTTCTGCAGGACAGTGTTTTGTCTCATGCCAGGGATGTATACATGGTTGAGATATTCAAACTTTTCCAGGAACAATATTTGAAGGGTATGTCACATTTTCATCAGTTTTTGAATCAGAGTTCTCATGGTCGTATTTATCATGTTTGGTTGAATAATATTGATATGATTAGACACACTGTTACTTTTAATGAGCATGACCACACAGTGACTTGTACTTGTAAGATGTTTTCGGAAATTGGTATTTTGTGTAGACACATTTTGCGAATATATAACATCCATTGTGTGAAATGTATTCCTCAAGCTTATATAATGCCTAGATGGACAAAGGCTGCTATTTTGGCAACAGTCAGCTCTTTTCTTACACAGGCTATAGATACTATGGTTGGTAAAGTATAGGAAGATTTTGTTTGGAGAGTCCAAATGACTAGGAAGTTCAACACAGTATTGACTGGAAGTGCTGGTATACTGGAAGCTAGGGTATTATGTGAACAAGGTTAAGACTCTATCAGAAACTTCTTAGACATTCAGAAACGCGTTTCTGCCGGAGATGAAACTGCTTCAGAACCAAGGAGCATTTTGGATCCTCCACGCTCTCGTCCTAAAGGTCAGCGAAATACACGAAAGAAAAGCAGTGTTGAAAAAAGTGTAAAATAGTCAAAGCTCACTGGTCCAAATCTCAAAATGTTGCCAGTAATTCTAAACTAGTTGTCCAATATGTTGTACAGGTAAATTTGCTATTTCTTTTAAGTTTTTTATATTTAATCTATGTTTTCTCATACTGGTGTTCTTCTCTTATTTTAATTTCGGGATACTGTTAATTTGATGGTTCCACATGGCTATCTTGCTCATCCAGTTGGGGGAATGACTTCTTTGATGCCTTTTTTTTATCTCCACAAGTTTTCACGCCGTACTTTGTGCAATCAAATGTTGTGAATCAACATCACATTTAGTTGAAGTAGTTTTTATATTTTTTCATTTTGTTGAGAAATGTTCCCATGAGGCAATGTGATTGAACACTGCTGTGTTTGTTTCTATAAGCTACATTTGGTTTGTAAATACTAAGTGAAATTATGTAATTCGGGAACAAGAAGATGTAACTCGCACATAAATATGTGTAAATCTTTCATTACACGATGTTACTTAATATACTATTAAATGTAAACAATGACAACAAGGAGCCCAAACTAAATACTTATAAGTTTACGTAAATAGTGAATATGCTTTGTTTTTTATATTTGAGGCCATTTTTTTGCCAAAAAAATATTTTATTTTTGTAACTCACTCATAACAAGATGTAACTTATGTACAAAAAGATGTAATTTCATTATTATCAAATGTAAGTCCACAAATTGTACCTCGATTTTTCACCCAGTAACATCTTTTATCAACATGAGATACATCATGTTTAGTCTATAGTTACATTATTTACTCCAACTGTTGCAATAAAAAACTACATAAATTTGCTATGAAAGACAAAATACCATTTATAAGAAGTTGCTTATCAGTTTAATTACATCACATAATATGTTTTCACAATAGACTTCAATAATAAACTAGTAAGGACTAATAAACTTCAATAGATGTTTTCATACCATCACCCATCCCCTCACATAAATCACCAAATGTTTACAAATTCCTCCATAGAAGTACTTCATAACAACAACACTTTACATTTTGATGAATTTTTGTGCATTTTCAATAACATTTCTCCTTTCTGAGTTGAATTTTGACAATAGGAACTCTCTGCATACATAACTCTGAGCTTTTGCAGAATTTCATTTTGTGCTTTGACTCCATCATCTGTAGCAGCACTGGGAAAACCAGAATCCCAATTGTCTCCCCGGCCTCGATATGTTTCCAGATGGCGCATTACAAATATGCCATAGTCGACATGGTTACCATTGTATCTCCATGGCATAGTCAGCACTCTTAGGTTCCACTTTGACATCTTTCCAGCATTGTGTCTGATTTTTTTGCAATAAGAAGTAAAGCCTTCCACCTATTTCAAAAGATACATTAATAGACTAAAAAACACATTACTAACATTACAACATAAACATGTATTTACCATTTGTTTAAAACTCTCTCCATATTTGTCTTCAAATTGGACTCCTTCTTCAAGGATCCTGTTGTCTATGACATCAACTATGTTTTTTGTCAAATAGAAGCAGTACACATAATAATATTACTACAATTCACAAAAAGCATTCATGTGTTTATTATTTGTTATTCAATGATTTTTTGTGAGTAATAATGACATTTTACCATATCAAAGGTTCTGAGGTTCCCTCCCGCTTGCTTGATTTCAGCTTAAACATTTCTACCATTTTTTCTTTTGGGTCACTATACCCCAGCAGGAATTGTGCCTGCATTTTCACATTTATTTAAACACATGAGAATATTTTTTCTTATTTTATTTTATGAAATTTCTAGAAATATTATACATACATAGACCATGGTAGAACAAATGAGTGCACGTTTTGGAGCATTGTTCTTTGGTTCTCTGTCATTCAGCAGCTTCACCCAAGCATCTATTATTGAGTTATCCACCATGTCGTCTTGCAGGGTCTGGAACTTCTCATGGTAGACAAACACTCCTTCACCATATTGATAAAGCAACTCACTAAGACAAAAACACAGATTATTATACATCAGATTGGAATCTCATGACTACTATTTACATCTGATATAATGTGATGAAACATTTTCTACTACTGTAGTTAAATTTTATTCACATGAATAACAAAAACATTTCTTACTTTCCAACTTCCTTTGAGAAGCCATAGTCTATGACAATCTTCTGTTCCTTGCTCATCTCCTTGCATAATCTTCTGTTCATGTTCAGATACGGTGATCTGAAATTCCATTACTTCTCAGTTGTTGTTTTTACCTTCAGCCTCTTTGCCAAAGGTTGATTATCTTCTTCAACTTCTTGGGCTACATGTGCAACATCCTCTGCTACATGTCCATCAGCCTGTACCAGCACTTCTTCTTCTTGATTCACATCTTTTTCAGTCTCAGCAGCCATCTCAACATCTTTTTCAGGTTGAGACATGCTAAACTCAATGCCAAGATCGAATGATGGCATTGAGAATTTCAGAAATGCTGATTTTCAAGTTTTTCTAGGGCTTCCCTGACCCTGGGTTCATTGAAGCAATCGTCATCTTCCTCAAGAGTGCACATCTCTGCCAATCATTCTTTCTCAGGTTCATTTTCTTTTCCATTAGCTTGGCGAATGAAGTAATCTGCTGTTGTGAGATATATCTTTTTCAGGATATCAGAATTTGGGAATTTTTTTGATATTGTTGATGTCAGCTTTGTTAATTCGATGAAAGCATCACTGAATTTCTGTGCCACTGCAACAATCTCCTTCACACAGTCCTATAATAATTAAGATATATTAGAAAACATTGTATCACATTCAGTAAAATATATTATATAAACAATCATTTCAGTTTACATTTTGAACTGATTGAGGTTATATTTTTAATTCAACAAGTTGCATTTTTTAGAGTTGTAGTTTACATCGTATTGGAATTATAAGTGTATGGTGCACAATTTACACTATGTAAGGTTACATATTGAATCATACAAGTTATATTGTTTTACACACACTATTACATCATGTTTATTCTTCAATCACAAATAGTGTTAAATGAAACCTTACCTCCTTTGTCAGCATTCCATCATCTTCTTTTTCTTCTTCTCTTTCTTCATCGCTTTCTTCTTTTTCTTCTGCTTCTTCCACTGGCATTATTCTTGGCATCACCTTGCCCAGACCAAATCCTAACTTCCTCTCATCTTTGACTCTTTTATCAATTTTCTCCTTGTCCCAGATTCTTAGAGTTGGGTAAACTGTATCCAAGACTTGTCCTTTGAATTGTACTCTGTCAAAGTAACAAATCATAAGGAATAGCAACGCTCTAGAAAACATCCTTGATGGATGAACCTGCCATTCTTCACCAGCATCCATCAGTGACCTTCTAGTGTACTTGCACCAGTTCAAATTCTTAATATCTTCAACTTTGACTAAAGACAACAATATTTTGAAATTGCTCCTGATACTCTGGTCGCCTCTGATGAGGCATGACACTGTAAAGACAACAAGATTTCTGATGAAGCGATCTCCGGAGTCTTCATCCTCAAGCATTTTCTGAATCATCTTTGTTGTTACGGGGCTTGTGATAGTATAGAATTGTTATTGTTTATGTTTTTAATTTTAACTAGTTTTATTTGTTGTTGTTTGGGAAATTACACACTTTTGGTGTAATACTTTATTTTTCCTAGTTGCTTGTAATTTGTATAAATTAGGAATTTTCTGAGCTTAAACTAGGTAAAAATCATCAAAAGGATCCTGGAAAGGTCAAGGAAAGTGCAATGGAACAAGACAAAGTGAAAATTTAGGGAAATAGTCAAAAACCCGGTCGGGTTTGACTTGACCCGAAGATCAAATCTGATTTGGAGGCAATTAAACGTGCAGGGCGAAGATTTGGCAAAGATTTGTGTTTTACCCGATCGAGTAAATCAAAAACCCGACCGGGTAGATGTGACTAATGAAGATTCCGGGCACTTACTCAAGAAACCTGATCGGGTTTCTGAAAAACTCGGTCGGGTAAATGACCCTGTCACCTCCAAACATCTATAAATACACCTCTTTTCCTTCCCATTTGATCACCAATTCACATATACTCTTAAGCTCAGTTTAGAATAGCATTTCTTTATATTTTTCTAGCTATGTTTAGTCTCCAAATGAGGAGCTAAACTTCCATTCTTGGTGTTGCTCTTGAAGCTTGTTGATTATTAAAGTTGTGAGTTATTTTCTTAACTTCTTCCCTTGAATATTAATTATTAGTTATTTCCTTAATACTATCTCTATATTAATGTTGGGGAGTGTTGCTAAGATGACAATTAGTTAACATCTTGACATTAGTTAGAGTAGTATTTTATTCCTCTATATTAATGTTGGGGAGTGTCGCTAAGATGACAATTAGTTAACATCTTGATATCAATTATAGTAGGTTTCATCTCCTTTAATAATATTCTTCCTTGAATATTAATTAATTCATATTCTTTCATATTAATATTTTGAACATTACTTAAAGGATCAACTAGTTTTGTTTCATATATTAATTATTACTAGAAACGATCGACGAACCGATGGTTAATCGTTGATGGTTTCATAAGTAAGTAACTTTGGTTTATTAATGCACGGTCGTGGTTGATAAACTTAAGAGGGATTAATTTTGTTGGTTAAACCGAAACCGTTGTGTTGAGGTTATCAATCTCAATTGATTTCATCAAGGAGTTAAGAGATTAAATGCTACTATCAAGTCAGTATATGACGGTGTTCTATACTTGACTAATAGTAAGGGTTATTAATGAACGGTCGTTGTTAATAGCTACCCTCGATGAATTGGATATACTCCTCGATTGAGTATTCGAGAGGGACAAAGTTATAGATATAACGATGATCGACTAAAATATATCAACAAGTGGAAAGTAGCAATGCCAAGTTCTTTTATCTTTGAATTGAAACACATATAGGTTGTTCATCTTAGTTTGTAAATTAAATCATTCAATCCCAAAACCCCCCTTTTATTTACTAGTTTCATAAAAAAGGAATTATTCCATTCCCCGTGGATAAGAACTCTACTTCACCTATACTACGTATTAGTGCTAGTATTGGATTTATTTTGACGAACCGTGACAAAGTGCACGTCAAATTTGGCGTCGTTGCCGGGGAAAGGCAATAATTTTTCTTTTATTTATTTCAAGAAAAAAAAACAAAATATAAAGAGCTTTTACCTTTTCTATTTTCTGAGCTTACATGAGTAAATGGATACCAACACATCATCGCTAGATAGTCAAATTTCTAGCTTGACTTTTTTAGTAAAGGAGTTTCTCTTATGCTCAAAAGTTCAATATACCAAGGTCTGCAACATTTGCATGTCACAAAGGCATCTTACGAATTTTTGCCCAAAGCTTCAAGAAGAATACTTTGAACAGAGTAATGGTGTTGGTTTCCAAGAGAGGTATGATTCATTCTCCAACATATATAACTCATACTCAAGTTCTTATTTTAGCATGTCCACTGAAAACATGATCCGAGCTCTCACTATCAATGTGACAAAAATGCAACAAGATATGTCACAATACCCGCAAGAAACAGTGCTCAAAGAACTGAATTTGGAGAATCAATTGAAACAAGTGCCAAACATTGTGAACCATATTGGTTACACAAACATTTCGTACTCTACCCGAAGAAGAAGAGGAGCTTACGGAGGAAGCTCAACCCGAGGAGGAGAAACCTCAAAATTCAACTCTACCACCGGACATTCCTGAGATCATGCTACCATTTCCTGAGTCTGTAAGGGAAATACAAAGGGTGGAGAAGGACAAAGACCTCTATGAAATCTTCAGCAATTGTGAGTATCATTTAGATTTATCTTTGTTCACAAATATGCAGGGGATAACGGTGGAGTTACACAAACATTTCGTACTCCCTCTTATACCACCCGGATCAAAACCCCTTCTATTTACCATGCTGAGGTAAAATCATAGACCCTCACTCTCACCTTATGAAGCAATAGAAATCCGGATATTTGATCCCGAAAAGATTTTCAAAATAAAGGGTCGACAAATTGAGCCTTTCTATAAGATGTGCCCGGGTGAAAATGTGAAAAAGATGGATCATCACGATCCAAATTTTAAAGATTGAACATAATGATATCGTCGTGTCGCGACGTTAAACCAAGCACTTCTTGGGAGGCAACCCACGCCCGGTATGTTTTCTTGTATTATCTTTCAGTAGAGTGTGTGTGTGCATTTACAAAAAAAAACGTTTTCGTAAGGCCTCAGCACAAAACCCGCCCGGCTAAACCAAATACCCGGTCGGGTAAGAGGTTTAAAACGCATGACCCGAACAAAAAAAACCCACCGGGCAAACAGTGAATTAATAAAACAGCACAAACCCGACCGGGTATTCTTAAAACCCGACCGGGTAAACAGAGATTTTTCCCACTGCCAACCCTGGACACAAAAATCCGTCCGGGTACTACCTCCCAACCCGCCGGGTTTTAGAAAAATGAAAAATGAGTAAAAAGACGAAAACCCGATCGGGTAACACGTTTACCCGACCGAGTAAAAGCACGAAAAACCTTTTGTCGGCCTACAACTCGAAAACCCGTCCGGGTTTCTTAGTATACCCGATCGAGTTTACGCATTTTAGCCGACTAAAAAGGCCAACAGACCCGTTCGAACACCATCTTCCCCAAGACCCATAGCCACGAAAATCCTTCTTCCAAATCAACCCATTCCATCACCCCAAAAAAATCCCAAATTAAACCCACAAAAAAAACTTATGCGCATCTCTCTCATCACTCCTATATCATCAAAACCCAATATCCCTCCCTTAATCCCTAAACCTGAAAAACTAGCCCAAAACTCCTCAAAATCCCAATTTCTCAAGAACAAAAAAAAATCCATGACTACCAAGTCGAGGATGATGGAGAGAGAGCACTGAGACAATGCTCGGAGTAAGTAGGGGGGAGTCACTCATTTGGTGTATACTCATTCATTTTTCACCTTGTAACTTGCATTATTTTCTTCAACAACAAAAACGAAAAAAAAAGAATAAATAAGTAAAAGAAAAAATGCTAGTTAGGTTGAAAACCAAAAATTTGGGCAATCTAAGCAAAAGTGGCTAAAATGAGTGAGTTGGGAGAAAACGGAAAATAAAAAGAGAGGCTAGGATGAAAACCTGTAAAGGCTCCTAGGCAGAATGAGAGGAAATCTTATATGAGATTATACAGGAATTCTTTTCTTTTGGGAGTTTTTGGGATACAATCAATGAAACGAACATTTGTTCTTGAAGATCATGAAGACCATCTTTTCTTTGTATTTTGAGGATGGATGAACAAATTGAACATTTTATTCCTCTTGGGTGTGTTTCAGAAAATAAAGGAAATTAATTAAAATAAATTAATTAAATAAAATGACTAGAGAAAAACAAGAAAGGAGATGAAGCAGAATTAGTCAAAGCTCGTGCTACGCACGATGTCCTTAAAACGTATTTGTTGCCTCCCACGGTGCTAGGAGCGTTGCAACAATCGTTTCCCAGGATACGATGACTACGAACTAATGTTTCAGCACACAAACAAGAGTTCCAGCGAACGAGAACCAAGTATGAACATAGAAGGAATTCTGTCTGAAGCCAACAGAACACCCCTTCGAGGGTTCTGTCCGACCAACTGAACACCCCTTCGAGGGGTTCTGTCCGAAGCCAACAGAACACCCCTTCGAGGGTTCTGTCCGGCCAACAGAACACCATACCGAGGTGTTCTGGTCGAGGCCTTCTATCCGGAGCACTTCTGTGGAAAAATAAACGTTTCGGGAAGAAAACAAAAATTAACCGTATCTCTTGAGAGATAGTTTTTGGGATGGCATTCATGTCCGCAGGTCACCTGCGCACACGAGTCGCGGTTTTTCTTCTCCGTTTTGGGATTTGATCGGCACCCCCTCCTGCGCGTAAGAGAGAGCCTTTACCTTTAGGAATCTTAACTCCTTAAAAGAGGGATCCCTTTATAAGGGTGTGAAAATCCCTTGAGTTTTCCGGTGTGGGATAAAACACACTAGAAACCCATCATTTCCCAGTTTTTCCATTTCAACGAGTGAACTTCGAGAATCAATTTCTCATTCACCCGTTATCCGTTTTGAGCGTACCATATATCGAATTGTAGCCCTTAACAAGGACAATCCGAAAACACTTTGACCCGACCCAAATCGGAAGTGGACCCACTCAAATAATTGCCCCAAAATGACCTTTTAATGCAATTTTAACACATTTTTCCAATAATTCCTTTGAATTTATCTGTTCAATGGATTGTGAGCTGTTATGTTGACTTTTACTCGAGGACGAGTAATGAACTAAGTAGGGGGGAGTTTGATAGTATAGAATCGTTATTGTTTATGTTTGTAGTTTTAACTAGTTTTATTTGTTGTTGTTTGGGAAATTACACACTTTTGGTGTAATACTTTATTTTTCCTAGTTGCTTGTAATTTGTATAAATTAGGAATTTTCTGAGTTTAAACTAGGTAAAGATCATCAAAAGGATCCTGGAAAGGTCAAGGAAAGTGCAACGGAACAAGACAAAGTGAAAATTTAGGGAAATAGTCTGTCTTCCAGGTTTCTAGCTTATGATACTCCAGGAATAGGATTGGTTCTTCTCTCTGTCCTGTTCGAATAACTTCATCTTGGTTTTCTGTTTGAGGATTCTCATTTTGAGCAGCTGTAGCACTCCTTGTATTCCCAGTGTCATGCAAAATAACATTAATAATTATAGTCGAGTGACATGTTATTCTACGCAGTTTACATAGTTGTTAAGAAAAGTTTACATCACACAAATACATTTGAACATTCAAACAGTGTGGATGTTTTATGATAAAAAGTTTACATAAATTCTAACACGAGTTGCATATTATTATATGAATGTTATATAACTACTAACTGAAGTTACATTACTCGCAAGTAGTTAATCAATGTACACTGGACTTGATTGCAGTCATACTAATGCACACGATTTACACACTATTATACACATGTTACATACATATACATTGAAGTTACATTACTCACAAAAAGTTAATCAATTTACATTGGACTTGGTTGCAGTCATACTAATGCACACGACATACACACTATTATACACAAGTTACATAACTATACATTAAAGTTACATTACTCACAAGAAGTTAATCAATTTACACTGGACTTGGTTGCAGTCATACTAATGCACACGACATACACACTATTATACACAAGTTACATAACTATACATTGAAGTTACATTAATCACAAGAAGTTAATCAATTTACACTGGACTTGGTTACGGTCATACTAATGCACACGACATACACACTATTATACACATGTTACATAGCTATACATTGAAGTTACATTACTCAAAAGTAATATATTTTCAACACTATTTTCCCAAATATATTACTCCTGATAACATACATTTCAGATATTGATAACAGCTGATAACATACATTTTACACATTAAAGCCACATGAAGTTGCAAATGATAACATAGATTTACATATTTCGTACTGTGTAATACATATAGGAATACATTATAATATTCTCAGATTCCATTGAACGTTTATAATATTCTTAGATTCCGCAGATGCACAATATGAAACTAAGATTACATTATTCATACATTCTAAGTTACATGCATTTTGATATTTACAGAACAATAACATATTTAACACCAAAATAAACATATTTGATAATAAAAAATCAACCGCACTGTGTTATAGTTGATACCTGTCAACTGATTTCCTGTTAACCCTAGCCATCTCGAATTAGGCTCTTATCTTCAAAAATTTGCTTTGGATGGTGTTACTTCCTTACTTAGTTTCTGATTTTTGTTCGCAGAGATATGGAACTCAGGAAGTGCTAGTTCGCAGAGATGGTTCATGATTTTTTTTCCAGAAAAGTTGTGAGAACGTTTTGAGAGAAAAAAATGTCTTGGGGAACGTTTTTTTGAAATTCGTAAAGATGAACTTTGTGCATCTGAAAATAAAGCCTTTAAGGGAAAAGGTGGGAGAGAGAGGGAGGGAGTTGCCATTGGTTCGCGTGGGTGCGTTTTTTTATTTAATTTGATAGTAGGTCGTTTCGTCCGGGGAGTAGGATGCTGAGGTGGGCCCGTACCACGGTATAACGGACTGGACATTATGTGCCACGACGCCCGTTCGGTCTGCTACCGCCACTACAATTCCTTCCAGAAAGAAGGCAACAGAGCGTCGCTTCACTCGGTTTTTGTGCCCATCCATTTCGTTCCCAGCAAGCTTTTTGTATTCTCCTTGCGATGCCTCCTAACATTATCGCTAACTAGTAAGTATCTTCTTCCATCGTTTGTTATTCCTTTTCACCTTTAGTGGAGTAATAATTTCGTATTCCTCTTTCACGGCTGTTTTCTTCTTTAGAGATATGTTTGTGGATAAAGAAGTCGTGGGTCGTTTTTTTGAGGTAAAAATAGCTTCTTGTGTCAAACCAACCCGTTCTTCGAGTATATTTTTTTGGGTCGTTAATTGTTACACTCCCCAGGTCGCTATTTTTGGCCTTCTCACTATTTTATGTGGTAAATGTAATTCCTTTTTATCTGTAGTTTTCTGCATCGTTTTTTTTTCCATAAATGGAATTCATTCTTGGAGCATTTTTTTGGGTTGTTAATTGTTACTTCGTATAACTTATACTCCCATGTCTCTATTTTTGGCCTTTTTACTATTTTATGTGGTAAATAAATGTAATTCCTTTTTATCTTTAATTTTTTGCATCGTTTTTTCCATAAATGGGATTCATTCTTGGAGCATATTTTTTAGGTTGTTAATTGTTATAACTTATACTCCCAGGTCGCTGGTTTTCTGCATCGTTTTTTACAGAAATGGAATTCAGTATTGCGGTTCAGTTAAATAGTAAAACTAATTTAAATACTACCAGGTAATTAGCACTAGGGGCGGAGCAAGTAATATATGACTCTGAATGTGGAACCCATTGATATAGAGACAATTGTCCAAAATAAGACAAAAAATGACCACTTACTATTTTTATTCCTAAGATGTTACGTAGTATTTGTTCTGTTGTTCATAGATAAAGGATATCATTAAATGAAGAAGTTCATAAAAAGGTGTCCTGGTAGACTGGTAGTCATATTTAAGGAAAAAGCTCATGCTTTAGTTATACCTAGGAGTCCTAGGTGATAGGTGAATTACTCATTAATATACTGTTAAAATTTCTGTTTTAACCTATAATAGCTCCTTATATATTTTTAGGAAAAATGGAGGAGATAATGGGCAGTTTCAAACACCGGAAGGTGTCTGAGATGGTCAAGAGTGATGATGGTGAAGATATGATCAGCCAGTTACCTGATGGCATTCTTTATCACATTCTTTCATTTCTTCCCACCACAGATGCAGTAGCAACATGCATACTGTCTACCCGGTGGAAAAACCTGTGGACCATTGTTCCTAATCTTGACTTTGATGACTCCTCGTTGTACTCTACCTGTGTTTTTGGTTATCCACTAAAAGTAACTTGTTTTATGCATTTCGTCCAAACAGTGCTTCAGCATAGAAACACACCTACTATTCAAAAGTTTCGTCTTTCTTGCCGTGTTTGTTTCAGTGGCTCTCATGTTTGTGCATGGCTATCATCAGCTATCAAAGATAATGTTCAAGAGCTTGACCTTTGCCTCTTTGTTGAGGAACCTTTTTCCTTGCCCCGATGTGTTTTTGATAGTAAATCACTTGCAGTTCTAAAACTAGAAATGAATTGCGTCCTTGAACTGCCTGATTCTATCTCTTTTCCATGCCTTAAAACCTTGCACCTCTGTCTCGTCACATTCCATGATGATACGTCAACCCAAGGACTGCTCTCTGGTTGCCCCGTGCTTCAAGAATTGGCTATATTAGATTGCGAATGGATGAATTTGAAGTGTGTTTGTTTATCCATTCCTTCTTTGAAGAGTTTGACAATAGACGACTTGCCCTTTTTTGGATCTGTTGATGATTTAAATGGTTGTGAAATCCAGATTGATGCAGCCAATCTCCATTTCTTCAAGTACAATGGCTATCTTACCAATGAAATTTATGTCTATAATCTGTCTTCTCGAATGGATTCTTCTATTCATATTGCTCTGTGTGAGAAGAGGAAACAATTGGCTATCCGTGCGGCTAAGCTATTTACAGGACTGAACAATTCCAGCTCCTTGAGAATATCTGTTGGTTCTGTCATGGTATTTTACTACAACTTTTGAATTATCTATACAAGTTTGTGAATGAATGCCATTTTGAACATACAATTTCTTTGCATTAGCCCCTTTTGATTCATCAAATACCTTCAAACAACAAATTTAACTGAAGTAAAAATCTCATCTTTTGTATTTTATGCGCATAAAACAAGAGATTTGACACATTTTTGTTTACTTAAAGGGACTAATGTGCATAGTTTGTTTATCAAAAGTTGTTTGGCGCATTAAACCTATCGGACAATCAAACTGACATTTTCAATTTTTTCTTTGACTCTTTTCCCCGGGGAAGTCTCTATTCGTTGCAGATGATGTTCTTGACCGTCTTCCAGTTTTTCACAACTTAACACATTTACATTTGAGCAAGAGGCTTGAAAACCAAACAATTGGAGCACTGGTGGAGTTGATTCGAAGCTTCCCGAATTTAGAATCTCTTAATTTTCCTGAGGTATCATTCTATTACTTTTCTAGCCGCAGTAAAGGTTGTGCTTTAATTCTAAGAGTGTGTTACAGGGACTTGAGTTTTGCATGGCAGCTGAAGAAAATGACTGGATCTTGAAGTCAATACCAACATGTTTCTTATCAAGTCTCAAGACAGTTAATTATTGCCATTTTCATGCAAAAGATATGGAAATTTGTTTCATCAAACTTCTGCTGAGTTTTGCTATCGTTTTGGAGCAAATGAATATATTCTGTTCCCACAGCTCTTTGCAGGATCCTTTGAAAATTAGTGAGGTTAGGACTCATTTGCATTCCCATCCTAAAGGATCAGATCATTGTGAAATCATGTTTATTGAAGCATGAAAGCCCCCATACTTGTAAGTGCCTTCTGCTCTCTTAAGGCATTTTTATACTATGTTCTTCATTATCCAATTCCTTATCATTAAGAAATGGATTTTAGTGAACGATAGTGGTAACCGGTAAAGGTAAAATAATGGAAAACTTATTGCAGTTGTACAAATGAGGGACAACTGTTAAAGGAATGAAGCTCAAGTAAAAAGATTGACTACCTTTTCATATGAACAAATATAACTAACAAGAAAATGGAATTGGAAAACAATGAATGTCACTACCATTTTATTATGTCAATGGCAGTTATTTTATGTCACTGCTTAGTTGATTAAGTCATACCAGTTACAGGCGGTGTCATTGTCGCCTGCACCAGTGCCTCTGTCGCTGCAGTTAAACATGTCATTGTGGCAGCTTAAAAATATTTTCGGCAATTATCCCTGGTGAATATTCAACCGGAAAAACTGAAAAAAAGAAGAGAGAAGAATTTCCTGTAGACTTTTCCTGGAGACTTTTTTGCCGCTCGCCGGTTGTGGTTTTTGAAAGTGGTTATGAAATGTGGCAGTGGGTGAGGGTGGGCAATTGAGAAGGGATTAGGAGAGGAAATATAAATCAGTTAACAAAGGTTAGTCACATTTTTGGAAAAAATAAAGCTGGTCATATTTTTGCCTTTCAAAAGTGTTGAGGTAATATTTATGTCATCATTATTATAATGATAATGTTATTATATAGTAGTAATGATAATTTGCATTAACAACAACAGTAATTACTTCTACTACTAGTACTATTAATTACTCCGTATTAATTTGTTATTATGCTATTCCGTATGTGTTAATTGACCTTTTTTTATTAGTTAGTTATATAGTTGTAGTTTGGAAATGGTTAAGTTATTAGATTTGTTTGCCTTAATTACTTATTTGTTATTTAGCTACCTACTTTTGAAGTTAGGAATTTGATAAACGTCTTAAACCTCTTTTGAGAAAGGGGATTTGTGATTAAGTATAATAATATCAACTATCAAGAATACAGTTCGGCAAGAATTTTGGAGAGTTAGAGGGCCTGAATTAAATCCTAGGAAGAAGTTCCTGAATCTTGGGCTATCCTAGGAATAATAATAACATTTTATAAGCAGATGCAAAGTGTCTGATGACATCTTTTACTTGCTGACACTTTGTTTTGTTTGCTTCAGTTTGCGGCTGGTAGTATGTCTAGTTATAATTATAGTGGCTACATCTGCTCAACACCTGCCATTTTGATTGGAGATATCCACACTTGGCCATGGCCTATGGAGATATCTACTGTTCTATTTCCTATGATGCACTTCAGCCATGGTATTGCTAATGATTGGGATTCTCATCTACTGTTGACATCAGTGGCTGTATTTGTGCCGAAAAACAAGGCTACATCAGTTTGCAACTGTAATGGGCCTTATTTTTCTCACAAATTAAGTCTGTTCTGTGGTCAGAATCATTCCCTATTACTGATGGAATATGAATCTAGTTTTTTTTTTTCTTCTTTTGCTCTCCTGTTCTAAGGGGAAGAAATAGGAAGTTTGTAAATGTTATGAAAAGCTAGCCTTGTATAGTTTTGCTGTTTCAGAGCTTGTAAGTTGAAACACGAAAGCACAACAGTGCGGTGATGCTGCTTTTTTTTTTCTGATGGAGGGAAATGCATGTAAAGTTGTAAATCACACATCAGCTTGTAAGTCTGATGTCAAACTTATCCATGATCATGACTCATGCGTATATTCCACATTACCACCACCTGGTCCATCTTGAAAGTGGAAATTGCATAAAAGACTCGAAATCCATTTAGGCATGGACTTGGCCTGGTCCAAAACCGGTGTGTATTGTTTGGGCCATGAAAGTGTCTATTTTATTTGAGCTTGGATTTCCGCTCTCTTGACCCGTTCGGTTACTGTGTGACAATATTTTGGCTTTCTACTTATCAGCTAATCCTATTCGGCATGCCAGAAGCAAACATATTGATTATTATTGACATTGACTATCACTTTGTTCATGAATTGATGAATGGGTTGCTCATAGAGATCTTTTAGTTTGTTTTGTCACTTTTGTGCTTGCTCAGTTTCAACTATACCCGCCTCCCCAGCCCCACAACTCTAGACACATGTGGCCAATTTGCAACACTACCATGGATGTGGCTAGAGTTGGACTCGGGCCGGGTCGGGGTCGGGCCGGGTCGCCGGTTCTGAATAGATGGGTCCGGGACCGGCTCGGGTACCCACCGGGTCTGGTCCGTGTCCGGGCCGAGCCGTGTTGGGCCTATTATCATTTTTTTCTTCCTAATTAATCCCCCTCCCACCCCCAACCCCCTAAACCACCCCCAAATGGCCCAAAATACCCAGCCCAACCTGAAAATTGAAAAAAAATTGAAAAAAAAAATCAATTTTGGCCTGAACCGGGCCTTGTTTTGGGTGACCCGAGCCCGGACCGGAATACCCACGGGTCAGGCCTACCCGGACCGGTCACTGACCGGGCCACCGGGTTGGGCCACCCGGCCCGAGTCCACCCATAGATGTGGCCCACCCTGCGACAACTCCATCAAAGATGACAACGGAGCTAGCCGAAAATAGAAATTCAATAGCTTCGAGTTTAGATCTTAGTTTCAATCGAGTTCTACGAGGAGAGGGTGACAATAACGATATACAAAAGTAGAAAATACAAGAAGCAGATGAGGATACGAATTGTAAAATAACAAAAGTGATGGCGGTGTTGAGGTGACAAGGGGTTCAGTGGTGCATGCGAGATTGCGAGGGCAGCGACTCTCTCATAAGTCTCAGAAGATCTCCAACGAGTATAAAGCCCAAACATTCTTTGACGAGAAAGATGAAGCAGAGGTCCTTTGAAGGGATGAAGCATAGAGTTGCTTTGTGCTTAGGGCTTTGGCCTGTAGTATACTAGTATATGGAGGGATTTTAGCCTTTCCAAATTTATTTGCTGTTTTTTCCACTCAAATCTATTCTTGAGGTTAATTCTCTAACCCGAAGGTCTAATCTGATATTCTGATACCTTTGGGGTGATCGAATATGATACAAATCATACAATTCTTTACAACAGTGTGATATTAGTGATATACTAGTACAATACAAACAAACAAAACAATACCATTTGATACAGCCCCAGGAATATTGATACCAAATAAGTTAAAAACTCTACTAATTTTTCAACAAAACTTTATGCCACCCTAAAAAGACCACATTGACTAGAAGCATAAAAACGATAACACGATTCTTAAAAATGATTTGAGAGAATTTTGAAATATGAAAAGGGTGAATATTATTCAAAAACGCATGGACTGCTATGAGAGATTTGCGTCAAAAACATGGGAAAAAACACCAAGTACGAACACACAAGAAATGATTTTTAACAACCATCTCGAGGTGTAATTGATTCTTCATCAAAAGTCAACAAACAACATCTGTAGCATAAGTACCCGAATGTCCTGAAATGCAAAATTTTGCATTCAGGATATACCCGAGAACAATAATAAAATAATGAAACAACAATAAAAACATAAACAGCAATAGTAATGAAACACAGGATCATAATTAAAACAACAACAATAATAGTAGAGGTTCAGTCGTTTCAGTGTAATATAAGCTGGTAGTCGCACACATTCTACTGTGGAGTCCTTTCTTCAGTTTATGCTTTTCCCCATCATCCTATAAGTATATTACTTACAAATTACATTAAAACCTTGTGTGAAAGAAAGAAAGATGTCATATCACTTGCTTAGTATGACTATAACTAGTTAACCAGAGACGCACCACTACTACTGTTGTGAGAAGAAGATGAATCCACAACAGCAACTGGATGATCATCATCATCATTAGCCAAGAAACGGACGATGACAATGGTAATGTTATCTGAACTCCCCCTCTCATAAGCCTCCTGCATCAACCTCTTTGCTCCTTCCTCCGGCTCTTTTATTGGCTTCACCATCGACACCGCTTCCTGACATTTTTTTCCATTTTTATTGTGACCAGACCACGAACAAAATAATTCAAAGATAGTACACACATTACAATATTTTAGAAGAAATTAATTTTTTTAGCGTATAAAAAGAATTTTATCAAGATCACCATTCAAGATGACGTAGAACCAATCAATCTTCGAAAAGGAAGGAAAGGCACATTTTTGGAAAATGTAAAGAAAACGTTTTCAAGAAGACATTTGATAAAAGCTACGGAGTATAATTTTAAAAATTGCAAACCTCATTTGTCACTACATCCCATAGCCCATCACTTGCAAGGATAAGGAATTCAAGTGAACTGTCAACCCTTTCTTCCTGCAATTTTGATATATATACTTATAGTGTCTAACCTCATCATAAATATACAGCAAGATTGGTGTTAACTTATATCAGAGTTCAGAACACACACACACATTACTTCATCATTTTCATTTTCATTTACCCCAGTGCCGCAAAGGCTCCCACCTACGGTGGGGTAAGGGGGGGTCGGATGTACGCAGTCTTACCCCTGTACTAAAGCACAGAGAGACTGTTTCCGGATGACCCATAGTGAAAATCCCGTCCAAAATTGCATGGACTGACTGCTGCTTCATGACAAAGAAGCGCAAACAGTTTAGTGAGCCATTTTGCTTTATTCCATCATTAGCTCAAGCCAAAAAATAATGAATCTTTGGCTCCATTGCAAATGATGGAAATACACACATTACTTCATATCTAACATTATTCAAAAGCAAGATTTAAGCCGTAATCTAAAAGAGCAGCCTTAAAGTCACAGACAATGGGAAACTAAGCATGTATGCATGTATATATAAACATATCTATGAGGGGAAGTATGATGTCACTTGAACTTCCAGAATCATTAATACTCCACATATTAGGGATAAACTACAAAGGTTCACAGAAGTACCTTGATTTCTGGATCTGCAACAACATATTGCTTCAAAAGCCTATCGCCAAATGCTCGGGAAACGGCAAGTACACCTCCAACTCGCCAGGTACCTGTCCAATACATTTGTACCACATTTTTTAAGCCCTCAAGGACTTAAGTATCTCCACAAGCCAACCAACCATCATTTAAAAGGATATTTGATGAAATGGACAAACCTGCCCACATCACAAAACCTCCAGCCTCTTCAATGCGTTGCCGCTCATCCTTCTGATCTGGCTTGTGATCCCGGGATACAGCGATGGCTGCAAGCAATAACACCATGTTCGATCAGGAGGGCTGTTCCAGATTTAAGCATCTATCATATGCAGTAAAATTTTCCGTCTCAACCCGATAGTAATGGATTTTACATTCCCAACGCTGCTACAGGATTTTAATGAACAAAGGAATTTGCATAATTTGCCAAGTACAAATGCAAGCTAACGTGCACTTGCAAACCCACAGACAACTCATTCAGTTGGTCTATAAATACTTGCTATTTTCTCTAACGAAAGATTAGTTTCTTCCTCATCACCTCATGTCTTCTTCGTTCAATTGAGGGTATGGTCGAAAAAAGATAAAAGTAAAGATGAGCAAACAACATAGTTTGCATCAAGGAGCAACAGATTAGCTCAACACAGGGTTAGAAATTTCAAATCTTACCATGCCCACCACGGCAGATAACAGCTCTTGAATCCCCAACATTAGCAACCAATAAACGGTCGCCAACGAGAATAGCAGTAGAAGCGGTTGAACCAGCATCTTTATTCTGACTGTTTTCTGATTTTAGAAATTCAGAATCCGTATGGCTGTATGCATCAGCTGCAAAACAAAAATAAATTATCAATTTGAATTGTTTAGTTACATTATATTAAAGAAGACAAGATAGTAGTACGTTGTGAGCAGCATACCTATCGCTGATTTGGTATCCGAAATAAAATTTGGATGTTTAATCAAATTGCTGAAAAGGTTTTGCTTAACGTATTCTGCAGCTCGAGCCCCTCCATGACCTAAATAAAGAGGAGATGTGAACAAATAGCCAAGTGAAAAGCATGTGATGATTGCTGAATATGAAAAGTAACTACTTTTGGAAAGGTGCATCCTAATTAATGGAAGGTATATGCACTATGGATACAATGCAACAAGATTAAGGTTAAAATGATGCCAGAAGAATAGTAGAATAGTTTTCGCATCATAGCAATCTCCATCACCCACCAAAAACTCAAACATGTTTGTCGTTAGTTGTTAATTTGTTACTGATGATCCTAAGTCCTAACCTTCATTTATAATACAATAGTTTTAGCATTATAGCAATCTCCATCTCCCACTAAAAACTCAAACATGTTTGTTGTTAGATGTTAATTTGTTAGCGATGTTAATTTTTTAGGAGCTGGTCGCTGACTCACTCTCCAATACGGGAGGTCTTGGGTTGGAAACTCCATGGAGGGAGTTTCAGCTCCCCCAGGCTCCCTCAAACCCCCTCCTCCTAACCCCCGGGGCTAAAAAACAAATAAACTGATGCCAATGTCCTTATTACCACCTAAAATACTTTCTGATTACACTTAGTCTTGCAGCATTCATCATAAACATGAATTAACATTAGTCCACCTCATATTTCTAATGCACAAAGTAAAACTATATTAAACAATGAGATTAAAAAATGGCCTCATTATGAAAAAATGGCACCATTCTCAGTGGACCCACGCCATATCTATGTTATAGGGTAGTTCAAATAAAAAAAATGTTCCCCGCGAAAAACGTGCACGGTTGCACTTTAACCTCTAAATGGTGCAATTTCAATTTTACCTTAAAATGGTGCACATTTATGAGTTGGCATATTTAGATCTCTTAAATTCAAATCTAGTGCACCCAATTTGTTCTCATTTCCATCGGTAGGTTATTTTTATTTGAACCGAACTATATATATATATATATATATATATATATATATATAATTGAATCCATTCTAAACTTTTGTGGGGGCTGGACAGTGAAAACATCGAGAGCATTGTGAATCAATGTAAATGGTTTTACTTTTACAAATTAGAGGAATGAAAAAACAAATGAAATCATTTTTATTCCATTACTTGGGGATTATCTTCCAGTAAAAACAGAGAGAGATACATATACACATACCATCAAAAACTCCAAATAGACCAATAACCTCTCCATCTATACCATCAATCCTTGTGTCATAGAAATCCTCCATTGATGACCTTTTTCCTGAGCAGCTCGCGTATCCATAGCTAAATTTCCCATCCTGACTATTGATAGTTGTCAGGTAAAATGTACATCAGCAAATAGAGTCCTATTAACCAAATCATAAATAACTGTTACTTAAATTTAAGAATTCATGAAGTTGACGCCTTCATGGATTATATCACAAGTACAGTTGTGAAGGGTGAGGAAGAGGTATGGTGCCTCAAATAAATCCACGGGGCGATCTTACAGAGACGAGCGCCTTCCGTGCATATGGCAGGGCGCGGATGAGGTGTGGCTCACATGCACCCATCTAATTTAAAAAAAGATTGAAACGTCACTTCTAAAGTTAATTAGACATGATTGAACTTTGAGTTAGGACTTCTTCATAGAACTTCTAACAAAAAGAGGCAGAACATTGTGCAATGGCCGGCGGTGCCATCTTCAGACTGCTTCAACCTTTGAAATTTGGGAGTGGGACTACCTCGAAACATTAAAGTTCACACTGTTTTTAGTTCTATTGTTCTTTTGAATTATGAATGCTGTCCAGCCTGTTCTCTAGGTCTTTGGGCAGTTAGGAATGAGGATTATTAAAATCAGTATATAATCTTTATCCTTCCTTTGTGACTCGGGTTCATGAGGTGGCACACCTCAAATGAACTCATGTCTTAGGGCGCTAGCTACTAGCAACCCTTTTTGCTTCTCAAACTTAATAGCACACAATCCTAAACTATTCTTAGGAATACACGAAGCAACGAATTTCATTAGAATGAAAAAACACAGTTATAATTTAATGCGAAGATGGGATTTTCTAAAGAGAAACAAGAAAGACATCATTAATCAAGGAGTTCAACCCATAATAGAACAACACAGAGTTTTCAAACTTAATAGCACACAATCCTAAACTATTCTTAGGAATACACGAAGCAACGAATTTCATTAGAATGAAAAAACACAGTTATAATTTAATGCGAAGATGGGATTTTCTAAAGAGAAACAAGAAAGACATCATTAATCAAGGATTTCAACCCATAATAGAACAACACAGAGTTTTCAAAATTCTTTCCAAATTTCCAGAATTGTATAGCAATACTTCAATTAGTATCCACAATTTCACATACAAGGTGCTGACCTACTTGGACCAAACATATATAAGTACAGAAAAAGACATATTAGTACCTTATTGCATTCATTACCCTGTAGAGACAGATTAGGGATATCCATGTGTCTCTAACACAGAAAATTGGTCCTTTTAATTTAGCACATATCTAAAACCATGAGTCCATGACTTCTTTAACAATAAATACACATTTTGCATGAGGTCATATTATTCCTTTTCCCCTATGATAGATTTATTGATTTAATAGGAAAAAGATTCATCATTGCAAAATGGACCATCACCTGTCATTATAAATTATGGAGTATGAGCCGAAAAGAATTGATTAGCCACAGAAAAAATATAGAAAGTAAACGTCAGAGATTCCATTGCAAATGAAAATTTTCCATGCATGCATGTTTCATAATGAAACAATGAGACAGAATACTTGGCAAAAAAAACAAATTAAGATGTTATCAAATTTCCAAGTTCCAAGCACAGGGAATGATCCCCAATGTCTCTTAAAATTTTCTAACTTCTTCAGCCCTCAAGTACTTGACTATTTTCTAGGATACCAATGGCAAGGAAATTTTCTTTTAAACACCTTGTAGTTCCACATTTGTCTACATGGTATGATAAAAATGTATGATTCCTGCCACATAACACATCATGGCCTCGTGGGTTGCCTGATAGGCTAATACAAACTACCTAAAAAAGATGACGACCTGGAGGTTCTTTTTCTATTTAAATATACATAAAAACCGAGAGCAAGAAGACCAAATAACCAAATGAGGCATATTTCAAACACAGCATAAGTAAAATCATGAAATCACATCCCATGTTTAAGAAAAAAATACAAAAATGTCACAAAAAATTGATTCGGGAATCTCACCTGAGACCTCCACCGCTGACGGGTGCATCATCCGCATCCATTTTGTTGGAAGACGAAGTCAATACTGAATTCAGATAACCCATAATATCCACTTTGATCTCGACTTCCTTCAAATTATTCAATGAAATAAACAAAACTAATCTTAATTGTTCTTCTTCAGGGTTGCCATCGTTCGAATCATCTCCAATCACTTGAAATCAAACCTGTTTGAAAATTAACAGAAAAATCACGACCACACGCTGGGTTAACTAATCCAACAATTTTTTCCAGAAGGGCAACAATTAGATCTGAAGTGAACTGCAATCCAATAGAAGAAATGGGAAAACCCATCAACCGCCCTAAGGTTATAACGAATTTAACATTTCAATGTGCAATGAATAGCATGGGCAGCGAGAAGATACCTGGAGGAGAGAGAAAGACTTCAACAAGAAATCATGAAAAAAACGACGCCAAAGATTATAAGGAAGGAAGGTCACAGGTAGAGAGTAAAAACAGGAATAAATGAATCCATAAATAAATAAATCCCGGAATAATAATTTTTTAATATAAAAAAGGATGGAGATGATGGTGTATGTGTGTTGGCATTCTTCATGGCTGGCTGGCAACCATATCTGAAATGGAAACCATTATTCAATACACTTTGTCACACTTCAAGTCGGTTTTCATATAATAACTTCCTAGAAAATGTAGGGCCTCTCAACTTGTCAATTTTTAACCAAATTCATAATTTTAAATAAAGTTACACTTATCTTATGAGAAAATGGTTTAAATATTCCAAATTTTAAAAAAGTGGGAGATAAAGTATCTCAAACTTACATAGGTGATTTATATATCCCAATTTCACGTGAAAAATTATATTAGCACCATGATCTATATTTTTTATAAAAATAATTTTATGGTGGTGTTAAGTACATAATTTAAAACACACAAAACCTTTATGAGTATGTAATTAAAACCAAATTTAATTAAATCGGATTTAATATTATTTATTTAAATTAAATTAAATTTTATTCATTTCATAAATAAAATTTAAAATGTTAAGTGTATTCTAACATTTTGATTGATAGAAAAACACTAAAAATAATAAGTTCATTCAAGAAAGGAGTTCGATCTTTCTTAGCTTCAAAGGCTAAAAACAAACACTAAATTAATGAATAAATAAATACTTTAACTGAGAAAAGTGAAAAAATAAATTTATTTTCTTTTAAAAGCATTAACCCACATGTACACATAAATCCCAATTCTGTACACATAAATTTGTTCATATAATATTTTACATTTTGTTAATAAAATAAAGTTAAGTATTTTTTTAATAATACTAGTAATGAGTTACAACTCCAACCAATTTCAATGTTATTAAATAGGTTCTGAGTAGATTAGTTATTTTAATTTTTTTACTAGTCAGTCCACTCGTGTGTTACACAGATAACAAATAAAATTTATTTATTTTTAAAAATAATTCATTTCATAAGTAATGTGTGTAACACGTACTTGTTATATAAAAAATATGATATAGAACTAAATTAGAGTCCATATACCGATACATTAATTAATATAAAATTATCAAATAAGAATTCATTCATTTTCAATTTATCTTGTCTAATTTTTTATACTAGTATTGAAGTTAAAGAGTCAATGCGTCCTCTAAGTGTTATACTCATCTTTTTGCAAGTGCATCTAAATATTACCAAAAAGGTTTCATGAGAGAAACTTTACCATGTCAATGAGTAAATTACATAAGACTGCGTATATAATAATAAAAATAATACTCCCACCCAGGGATGGATTTAAGGGGGGGCGCGGGGGGCGACCGCCCCCCTTGGACTTTCAAATTTTTCTACAATATATTTAATATTTTCATAAAATTTTTATACTTTAATTAGATATATATGTGTTCGTCCCCCTTAACTTTTAGTTTTCAAAATTAATATATAGTCTTACATTATGAAATACTTAATTGGAGATTTAAAAGATGAAACATCTAAAATAATTTACATAACTTAAGCAAATAAACAATAGAACAACTTATTGTTCAAGACTTAGGATACCTATTATATAAAAATTCATAGTTTTGAAATGTTTAATTATCTTTAATTTATTATATAATTATTACTCGATTTGTAAAATATCAAACAATATTATATACGAGACACACTAGTTAAACAGTTTTTCGATCATGTGAAATGAATTTAAAATTACACAATTCTTTTACTTCTTACTCTTTAAAAATAATTTATTGCATAGGTAATAAATTTTAACTTATTTTACCACAGCAAAAACAACATCCAAGCCTTAATCCCAAAAGAATTTGGGGTCGGCTAACATGAATCGATCTATGATATCGATGCCAAACAGAGAAGATAGACAAGAAAGGGAAGAAAAAGAAGTAAGATTAAACGAATAAAATAAAGATAAATAAATATAAGATAACAATAACACAAGAATATAAGAAAGATAAAAGATAAAAGATAAAAAATAAAAGAGCATAAAAAAGCTAGAGGATAAAAAATAACATAAGAATATAAAAAGATAAAGAAGATAAACGATAAAAGAAAAAAGAGAGGAAAGATAGAGAAGACATCAATCTAAGAATCAACGATATAATATTATTCTAAAAATAATAATTTCATACTACGTACATACTATACTTTTGTAATATTAGCAAAACTTGCAATTCAAAATTTGCCAATTCAATAATATTATTCTAAAAATATCCTTTGTTATTTTCAAATAATTTTCGTTTGATTTGCTATTTCTTACGCTTTAATTTATCAATACTTTTTTCTAAAGCACCTACAATTATAAAATCAAAGTTATTTGTTCATTGTCTAAACTTAGAATGTAATATACTCCCTCCGTCCCGTAAACAACTTCAAACTTCGTTTTCACACATATTAAGGAAATAAACATACTGGGTGATAAATTTTACTGTATGGACACTATTTCGACACTGTTTGGCACTGTTTGGTACTGTTTGGCACTTTTTGAATGTAGAGAATTTACCAAATAAGGAACTGGAAAGAAGTGTGAAGTTAATTTCGGGACTGTCCGAAAAGGAAAGTGAGAAGTTGTTTCTGAGATGGAGGGAGTATTTAAATATCATCATGTATGTACTTATGAATTCTTTTTTAATAAAAATTACCGCAAAGCCTTTCTAAACTAGCGGAAAAAAAAATCGCCCCACTGCACTAGCGAAAAAAAAATTCGCCCGACTACACTAGCGAAAAAAATTCACCCACTACACTAGAAAAAAAACTCGCCCCCTTTGACTCGAAATCCTAGATCCGTCCCTGCTCCCACCATATTTATTTACTAATCCATATAGACATTTAACTGTCAAAACAAAAATCCATATAGACATTTCACACAAATAAATAAAACATGGGGCTATTAACTTTTGTTCAAAAAAAGACTCACAGTTGCCTTCCGAAAATAGATCACAAAACTATTAGAAATTTAAAATTAAAGGAAAAGGGTCAAAATGTCAAATGGACCCTTTTGCTATTTTCAATCCATCACTTAAACTCTTCTACTTAAAAAAGCATACACACATCAGTCATGCCATCACCCCCAAATTCCATGTCACACATCATCTTAGCGGATAGGACTGTTAACGAACCGAGCCGAGCCTGAACACCATAGGCTCGAGCTCGGTTCAATAGTGTTTTTATAGTGCTCGAGTTCGTGCTCGAAGCTCGACGAGCTCTATTTATTAGGCTCGAGCTCGGTTCGATCTGTGTTCGAAGCTCGATCGGATACTCGATATGCTTGAAAAAAGTTGGAACAAAAAAGTTCGATTAGAGCTCGGGTTCGAACACAAGCTCGTTTAATGAACAAAAGTTCAATTAGAGCTCGAGTTCGAAAAGTTCTTCATAAGTGATACTCCGTAATAAATAAATAAATAAATAAATAAATAAGTATTTGAATTAGTAGATAAAAAAGTAAAGTGGACATATGGGTAAAAAATATTTATTTATACAAGTGTTCGATAGGCTCGGTAACGTATCGAACCGAATACCATCATGTTTGAGCTCAGCTCATTTTTTTTTGAACTGTAATTGGAGCTCGTATTCGGATTCGGAGTTCGTTAAGCTCGAAAACGAACACGAGCTCAAACTGTTCGATTAATGTTCGATTCGATAACAGCCCTATCTTTAGCCTACTATTTCTTAATACAAAGGGATTGCTCAACAACAAAAAGGAACTAAAGGCTTCTTAAATAAAGATTACTACTTATTTTAGAAATCCTTAAATCATAAATCAGGTAACTCAGATTACTTATTCGTATTAAAAAAATTAACTAGATTCATTAAATATTCTAAAAACTGAAACAGAAAACACCGAGTTTTTTTCGAATTAATGTTAATTAATTAATTAATTACGAAAATAATGCTGGAAAAAAAAGTATTTACCGATCTACTGTTGGATTTAACCATGATCAGGAAAAGTCTCCAAACGGTTTGGCGACTTATAAGTCGCCCAACCGTTGGGCGACTTTCCCTTCCATATGAACGCAGACCAGCAGCTACTGCCAGCCACGCACGATCGTGCCTGCAAGGGGCACGATCGTGCCTAATTCCGAAAACAGAATTTCAGCATTTTTTTGCCCCAGTTCAACCCAAACTCATTTGTTTGTTATAAATAAGGTCTCTCTTCTCCTGTTTAAGTGTTACGAGCCAGATACAACACATTATAAAATATACAACACACATGTTCACAAACACATACATAACACCTACTCTTAACAACATACAAGTAATCATCTAATATTCATACTCGAACACATGAAGACAACATACAAAAGTTTAGAAGAGAAAATACGTAAAATGTTGTAAATTATTCCTACAACATCTACTGTGCAAGATAAACTCCAATACAAAAAGGCAAACTACAAGTTTTCATGGTCATCTTGATCATCGTGGTCATGGAGATGTTGCTGCTGATGTCTACGCCTACGCCGTGGTCGTGGTTGAAGAACGACTCTCTCATGCTGCGTCTAGGATGATGAAGCCGCCGTTGCACTAGACGTCGATGGCATCTCCTGTGATGGGGGCATGTGTATAAGATGGCCATAGTCGACTCGCCCCAACACATCTGAACACAAGGAGGCAATGCCTATCAGAGTCTGTCCATACATGTCCACGTCATGAGTCTCACTCACTGTGGCATCAGCCTGTGTCCATATACGCTGTAAAGCTCGTGTCTGAAATATGAAACACAATTACAATTACATTGAAATACATACAAGTATTAACTAAATAAAATGACTTACTTTACTAATTAGTAATATACTCACCGTAAGATTCAAAGCCAAGGAGCTAGGCTGATAATGATGAGTAGGGAGTCTGAACGAAGGAGACACAAACAAACGAGTGATGCTGTAATACCATCCCATGTAGTCTCCTGAAACAGATGGAACAAATGTCGGTGTCCCAATCACAACTAGCTCAGCTTGTCTGTCCCACATTAATATGGATATTATTAATATACTTACATTCAACATACAATAACATAAATACTAACGATTGAAAACATACTGACGGCCTAGTGGGTCCTCGCCCCGTACATGATGTGGTCCCGGAAGACGTGGAGGCTCATCAAGAGCGGGTGTCCATCAATGCCATGATATGCGACTAAAAGGGGACGTCCAATGTGGATATACTCCCATGACCAAATCTGGAGGAGTAGCAAAAATCCTCCAAGCTCTGTGCTCCCTCTGTGGCAGCCGCGACACAGCTGTCTGTAGAGATAAGCCAGCGTGGCACTACCCTAACTGAACTATGCTGCTACATCAAATCTCTTTAGCATAGGCAAGTGCAGCACCTGAATCTCATTTCCGCTCTTGTCAGCGATGAAGCACCTGGAAGTGCTCCCTCAACCATGACATCCTCAGGGATGACTCCCGAAGGTCAGCCCGAAGAAGGGGGCGGACACCTAACAACCGCTCACACTCATCTACCCACTGTCGACAAGCAGTGCCTGTAACAACTCTCCCATCAACCTGTAGCCCAGTAAGTACAACAACATCTCCCAAGGTCACTATCACCTCACCAACAGGGAGGTGAAATGTGTGTGTCTCCTGTCTCCAACGCTCAAGAAGAGCGATGAGTAGCGCTCTATCAAGAGGGACAGTAGCCACCAATCTGTGCGGACCATAAAAACCCGCAGCACGAACATATGCAAGTAATCTGTCATCCACGTGCATATGCGACAAACCCCGCAGGTGCTCGCGACACCTATCCACCTGAACATCGAGGCCAAGCCAAACATCCTCACTCCTGTGCGAGGCCTGCAATGTCATGACAGAACGATCACTCGGACCAGGATCCGCTGTCACCTCCATGGCTACAAACAAACAATTCTTAATTCGTATTAGTTAATTTTTACTACTATATTAATTCTTTTTTTCTAATTAATTTTTTAATTAATTTTTACAATTATTTTTTTTAATTGAAGACAAACTACGTTATACACATATGATTCCCATCAACATGATCATTAACAAAAAAAGACCATAAGCTTGAAAACCAAATGCATAATCTTCATTACAACAATACAATCAATTTCAACAACCAAATCACTACCCACATACAACCACACAACACTTAAACATCTACTAATATATCCTACGTCCCAGCAAGATGATAACAAACAACCCGAACCGCATTACATTCCAGGAGAGTCCCATTGCCTTTCTTTGACATCTTAAGTTCCTCTTCCATATTGTGGAGTTTCAAAAGACCAATCCCACGAACACAACTCTTGATTTCAGCTTGCATCTCTAATTCTTTCATCCGGAAATTCTCTTCAGCACTGGTAACCTTCTGGAGCAAGGTCTCTATCCGTCTCAGGCAAGTACTACATTCTTCGTTCTCAACCCATTCAAAGAAATTGTACTTTTGACCACTCAAGAAACGACCGCACCCATAAAATCTTTTCCCCTGTTTTTGTCTGTTGTTGCAGTCCACACCGGTGCTTGGAGTCCACAGTCACACCTCTTAATTCGTCTTCTTGCATCCATCGACTAGGACTCAGGACTCGAAGAACTCATCGGCATCTTACTCCCCTTTCTTTATTTCCTTCACCGACGTCTTAGGACTGCCTTAAACAAGAGGCTGAAGGGTTTTAATAATTAAGCAGAAAAGAAAAGCCACGTGTATATGCCTAAAAGAACCATTCCAAATTTAACCAAATAAATGATGCCACGTGTAAGGGCCGATGCCCCGGGTAAGATAACGGAGTGAAATCTTCATTTAGATATCAAGTGTCTTCAAATTTTCAATAGAAAAAACTACCAAAATTTGGGGATTGGGTTTACATCGTTCTGTTTTGGGGATTGGGTTTACGTCGTTTTGTTTTGTGACTGGCCGATGTTTTTACTCAAGGGAAAGTCACTCAACGGTTGAGCGACTTATAAGTCGCTAAACCGTTTGGCGACTTATAAGTCGCCCAACCCAACTCTATTTTCGTAATTAATTAATTAATTAACATTAATATGAAAAAAACTCGAAAACACCAACACCACTGATTTTGGCACCAAGTAGAAACCAGTGCTATGCAGTATGCACTTCGGCTTTCCAGAAATTCAGAGCAGGAGCTTGGTGACCACCAAGGTCACCAATTGGGTTGGATTTGGAACTGCGGACAGGACTATACAGTATACACCAATTCACTTCGTTGTTTTAATATGTTATACTTCTTGAATACATATTTACAAAATATTAACTTATCAGGAGCGTAGTTTTTATTGGTGTGCATAAATGAGTCCTATTGATCAAAGAATAGACACAAAATTGTGAAAGTGCAACTGCAATTGTGAGCATCCTAGTTGAAAAATTGTATAAACTTATGGAAGTGTTAATAAGTCTTGGGAGGGCCGGGAAAGAGAAGTGTAAAACATAAACCAAATTATGTTGCGCCAAATTATACATATAAAACACACTTATGTTCAAAATTTTATTTGGCTGTCTTCCAGATTGAACTTTTAGCTGAAATTTTTTGTAGATAAACTAGACTTGATGAAGAACATGCTCAAAAAAATCATCAAAAAATCAGCCAAAAGATAGTGGCTGGATGGAAGATCCTATCCCTCCAACTGGACAGGATCTTTTCCATATATATATGCATGTATATATCCACTTTAACATGCATTTGGAATCAGATAATCCCTACTATGTTAGATGTGTTGTAATATGTTGGTGTTAGGAGAGATCTCCTAATCCAGCGATTTCGTAGTACCAACTACCAAGGCTTCATTGTATGTGAAAAGAGATCTTCATTGTACTCATTATGGATTAGGAGACCTCCTAATCCAGCGATTTTGTAGTACCGACTACCAAGGCTTCATTGTATGTGAAAAGAGATCTTCATTGTACTCATCATGAGAGCAGAACTACAGCAGCCGGGAGTTAGAACGGCAATATGAGGGGCAAGGTTTGTCCACCACTCCAAAATACTCCAATTTGAGGTGTTAAAAAAGTAACTTATTGAGGTGTTACTGTGTTAGGGAGGTTTCTTCTAGCACTTTTAAACACTTGCTAACTCTCACAATCTTTTTTAAAAAAATCTCCCAAACAAGTGTCAAAATCAACACTCCTCAACATTTCCATTACAAACACCTCCCAACACTCCATCCAAACAAGCCGTTAAGGAATTAAATGTTCAACAGAAGCAAATGGTCAAAGTGGAAGCCAAAACCTGTACAGCTGTCCAAAGCAAAAACAACGGCAGTGGTCTGTATATAAGTGTAAGGCTCCAAACCTGTACATGTTTGCTACTTTGCTACCTAATTTAATTGGAGGATGCAAGAAGTTGTCCACTTTTGCATTCAGGTGGGTTTCTTGGTACAGAGACAAAACTATGGAGGACTGTGGTAAACATAAAAAACAAAAACAAAAAGAGGATAACATTATTAACAACATTTCAGAGTTTTTAATTGCACTTATGAATTAGTCTTGAGATAATGATCCAAAACGAAGACGGTATTCTATTGTTGGAGTGATCAACCAATGCTGAAACGATATCCATCGCAAATACTTGAAACTCGGACCGTACAGCCAAGCGGATAAGCATGGTAATCCAAAGTTCTGGAGCCAGTTTCACTGCTAGTCCCATAGATTGAAAACCCTTGGCCACCCTCAGTAGCATTGCATGTCCCTACCAAAAGGGAGGCACCTTTGTAATGCATATAGAATCTTACACACTCAGTAGAATATTCACTCTTAGTAAGTTATATAAACTGATCAATTTCTGTGAAATAATATTTTGCGGCATCCTTTTATTTTCCACTAATATGTTGACTGATTAGGGCTCTGTCTAGCCTAGCTTTTGGAGAATTGAAAGTGCTTTCAGGGAATGTAGAAGTTGAGGGCCCATTTACTAACAGATATATTTTTCAATTTTCTTTTCAGTTTTCCATTCTCAAATTTTTTGTTTTGATTTTCCAGTTTTTTGTTCTCCAATTTTCTGTTTTCATTTTCCAGATTTCCAGTTTTCCATTTTCAAATCTGAAAACATGTTCACCAAATATATTCACCTGATTCTGGTACCAGCCGGAAGACCTGAATGTTTTATGTTTGGCCCATTTTCAAAAGGATCGAGTCCGAGTTACTATATCTTACAGCAGACTTGACCTAAATTTTGTACTACTAAATTCAGTAATTAGGACGTACCTCAGACTTCAACTTATCCCTTGAATGAGGTTTCTCACTGAAAAGATCATACAGAATTTCGTCCTGAAGAAAAACATCAGCTGCCTTGATTATATCCCTGACAATGAACACGCGCACCCTCGACCCCTTTTCCGACAATATGAATGAAAAAAGATCCTCAGTGGCAGCGACTACAGCACGCATGTCAAAAGAAAGTTCAAGTGGATTTGAGTCATTGTGCTGTGCTTCTCCATCTGCAGCAGTTATCTGTTTTGATATTGCTGCGATCTACATGAGAAAAAAATATAGTTTTTAGCGCTACCTTACTGAAAGTGAAACTCACATCGTTTCACATCGTGTCCAAATTTGCATGGACTGACGGCTACTTCATAACAAAAAAGCGCAGACAGTTAGTGAGCCATTTTGCTTTAATCCATCATATTCTCAAGCCAAAAAAAAGTTGAATCTTTGGCTCTATTGCAAATGATGGATTAATCTAGCATAGATGTCCAAACACAATAATTTGTAATCGGAGAATAAAAAAGGTTTGTGCTACCAATTAACAACCATTTTGGCCCCATTATAGTAAAAACGTTTCTATCCTTGGAAATTTTCTGAATCATGTATATGAGGTCATGCCATGTTCGTCTTGGTCTATAAGCAATATACAAAACTATGAACTTCATATGGGGAATAAGATGTTATATATGCAGTATAGAAAAGATAATAAATAAAAATGGATGTGTGTAGCAAAATTACAACATTACCAGACTTCGGAAAGATTAAAAATGAAAATAAGATTTTTCATCAAATTACTAGTTATGTCCAGTAGACGCAGGATATGCCACAATTTAGTATTAGTTCTTTTCTGGATATTTGGTTTAATCCGATTGAAGTTAATATGCCAGAAGTTCGCGTACAGACTTCATGAATGGTTATCCATTCATCAACTATATAACCCACTCCACTTTCCAAAATCTGTTTTGAAACAGTCCATCCAATTTTTCCCCATCCTCGGAAATCAGTATAAACCCAACAAAAAACAAAAATCCAGATTCAGGTCATAGAGTATCATATTTATTTTACAATCAAATGAGCATCTCTCCCCAAGGACAGCAGATGACAAAATGCAAACATGCATCCAGCTAGCAAGTATATGCACTAGTACATAATAGCTAGCTGCATACTCGCATCCAGTTATGGTACTTACAAGCAAGTGACCAAACATTAGTGCAGATTCGATGAATTTGTTGTACGATACTTGTAAAGGTAAATTACAAACCAGTCTTTCCAGCCGATTCCACCTGAGTGATCCATCATTACAGATGATAAGCTCTCTCAATATTCTCCTCATATCAGAACTTGGGTCTGACAAAAGCCTTCCAATAACAAATGGATATGCACTCTCCACCACTTTGAATTCAGGATCCAATACCTTTGCAGTTCCTTCTAGTGATCCTAGAGCTCGTATCACCAATGCATAGTCGGGAGGAAGAGAGAAGTTGAACTCGTACATAACATCATATAACTGATTCATTATAGCCTGACATCATATCATGACACAAGAACTGTTAAAAAAGCTTGAAAGAGTTACAATGTAGGAATATCTTTCTCTGGCATAACAAATGTGTCTGTCTGTCCATGCTAAAGAAGCAGGACAAAATAATTTTGAGTTCTAAGTGATGGTGAAAATAAATAAACCTTTTTAGATGAGTTCAGAGATCATAGGAACCCAAACTTGTAAATTTGTAATTATGCATTACTTTAGCTTAAACACACATCCTTTATGTGACCTCTGTACTTTAGATTACAGTCTGTAATTAATAATAATCTTTCGTGCTCTTCCTTTAGTTTCTTAGACTCCTGCCTTGTCACTGGTGAATACTTGGTGAATACATTTTGCCACGTGCACCCATCTTTAAAAGCATTCTCCCTGTACCACATGCTAGAAGCCGCATTCCCTTGTGCATGAACACTAAGGAAACAAATTACTGTGATCCAAATTCCACTTTTACCCTAGTACAAATTATGAATTTATACTAAATTGTGCAAGTGGGTCCAAATGTAAATTACAAATTATACTTCTTACTAATTATATACACCATAAAAAATTATACTATATAAAAAGTATAATATACAACTACCTATTACATTTTTATATTATTTATTTAAAAATAATTTATTTTCGTTTATATTTTATTTTTTATTTACCGCAAAATATAAATATTTTCTTATTATTATATTATTAAATAGATGTCTATATGGTATATTATCAACTTTTATTTTATTTTATATTTGTATTTTCTATTTTTTAATTTCTTATTTCTTAGTTTTAGCAATTTGACATAAAACTGAAAGTATGATAGAACCTGGAAATCCTGAGATTGTCTACTTCCATCACCAAATGATGTTTGCAGGGCGTCTGCAACTGATTGTATGTCAACTCCTTCAGGAATGAAACCGAGAGAGAGAAAATCATTTGCCAAACTCATCGAGTCACGATTTACAAAATGCACTAGCTGCATTACATTAAAATATCAGTTACGTAATATTCCATCATCAAATCTAAAAGTACATAACAACGATACATGTTTACACCCTAAATGACAAAAGTGTGACAGGGCATGGCCTATTAGGGCTAGGATTCCCATCAATACAGCTACATGTGATAGCTGCCAATACTATGTTTCAATGAATCATTAGATATTGTGTTGATTAATTTCCAATAGCGCTCGGGTTTTCTTGTCGCTTACCACTCTTATAAGTCCAACACGATAATGACTTGGAATATCTCCCATCATTCCAAAATCAAAATAAGCAAGAGATCCATCCTTAGTAGCAACAAGGTTGCCTGGATGGGGATCAGCATGGAAAAAACCCACCTCGAGCAACTGCCTCAAAGAACAATACAGTCCCTAGAGAACAAAAATAAGGATACATAAATACTACATAAAGGCCAATAAAGAGAAGGCTGCACTACAAACAGCAAGTTACCTGATTAATAAGTTTTTTCCTATTTAAATGGGCATCCCTCAGGCGACTTTCATCAGTAAGTTTTATTCCATCAATCCATTCCATTGTAAGAACCTCTTTACGAGTAAGATTCCAGTATATTTTGGGAACCTTAATGCCATTCACCTTCATATTTGTTGCACTATCATCATCTGCACCCCCTTGATTGATATTTTCAGTATCTGAAAATCAAAGAAAAGTATAAGCAAGCAATGAGATTAAGGCAGCAAGAATGAAGAATCGTCATGGAAAATGGAAATACAATGGTACAATAAGTGTTACCGATTCCTCTTACAAATTATGATAATCAAAGTAGGGCAGCTGATGTTAAACCTGGCATACCTATTATTTATACACCTCACAAAGGATCTGAAATAATAAATAATGTGGATCCCATATCTGAACTACGTGTTTACTCGAGAAGAAAAAAAGAAGCAAGGTACCGATTCAGTACTAACTCAAGCTGACCTACCGTCTGGCCAAAGTGTTGTTCCACGTAACATCATTCCCACAACTTCTATTCCACATTTCCTTGATCCTATTCTTGAGACTGAGACTAATTCCCATGACCATAATTCCGCCTATTTTTCATCATTTGCAATGGAGCCAAAGATTCATTATTTTTTGGCTTGAGAGTTGAGATTATGATGGAATAAAGCAAAATGGCTCACTAAACTGTCTGCGCTTCTCAACAGTCAGTCCATGCAATTTTGGACGGGATTTTCACTATAGGTCATTCGGAAACAGTCTCTCTATGCTTTAGTACAGGGGTAAGACTGCGTATATCCGACCCCCTTACCCCACCGTAGGTGGGAGACTTTGCGGCACTGGGGTAAATGAAAATGAAATGAAAATGAAATGGTATCAGAGCCGTATCACCAACTTCCATGGCAGGCCTGAACTCGAGCGATATCAGCACCAGCTCAACTGGTGACTCCGCCCGAACCAACCAAACCCTGTATCGCTTTTGATTCTATGCAGAATCTGGCGATTACCTCCATCAAACTAAATGGAAGTAATTTCCTCCCGTGGTCATAGTCAGTCAAGCTTTTCGTCCAAGGAAAAGGAAAATTTGGCTACCTCTCGGGAACAATAGTTCAGCCAGACCCCAAAGATGATGGATACGAACAATGGGAGGCCGAGAATTCCATGATTATGTCATGGTTGGTGAACTCAATGGAACCAGAAATTGGCCGAACCTATTTGTTTCTGCCATCCGCGAATGCCATCTGGGGTGCCCTAAAGGAAACATACTCAGATTTGGGGAACGCTGGGCAATTATTTGAGATCAAGACACAATTGGGAAAGGCGAAACAGGGGGAGAAGAGTGTAACTCAGTACTACACTGATATCATGACCCTTTAGCAATAGTATGATCGGTTTTGTGATTATAAATGGCACTGTCCGAAGGATGCTGCCCTCTATCGGAAAATTGTTGAAAAGGAAAGAGTTTTCGAATTTCTTGCTGGCCTGAACAAAGAACTTGATGAAGTTCGAGGGAGACTTCTTGGCCGAGACCCACTGCCAAGTGCACAAGAGGTGTTTGCTGAAGTTCGTCGCGAAGAGAGTCGTCGACATGTGATGCTAAGAGATGAACCCACCTCTTTACCCATTGAAACATCTGCACTGATGATCTCAAAACCAAAGTTCAAGTCCCCGCATCCTTTGAAGCAGTCTAATAAGAATCAAGAACGGCCAGTGTGTGATTTTTGTCACAAAATCGGGCACATCAAGGCAAAGTGCGGGAAGATTCACGGCAAGCCAGCTGATTTCACTCCTTCCAGCCGAGTCTCACGCAACACCAAAGGAGGCTTCCTTGCTGCATCTGGAGATCAAGCAAACACATCGAGCGACACCTTCTCCTTCACCAAGGATAGCCTAGAACAATTGTTTCAGTCTTGGAATACTCATAGGTTTGCTAATACCAACATCAATACTCCATATACATCAGTCTCAAATACCCCAACCTCAAATATCTCAGCAAATCCTTCATCATCTCTGGCGCAAAAAGGTATCTTAGCAGCCGCCCTTAGTGTACGTTTAGAAAAATCCAACCCTTGGATCATTGATTCAGGGGCTACTGATCACATGACCGGGTCTTCCTACATGTTTTCTGATTACTTTCCTTGTTCGGGTAATCAAAAGGTAAAAATTGCAGATGGTTCCCTATCCGCAATTGCTGGAAAAGGTTCTATCATTATATCTCCGTTTATTACCTTAAACAATGTCCTACATGTGCCCAACTTATTATGCAACCTTGTGTGAGTCAGTAAACTTGCTCACGATTCTGATTGTGTTGTAAAATTTGTGTCAAATGGTTGTGTGTTTCAGGACCAACGCTCTGGGAAGACGATTGGTAGTGCAAGAGAAAGTGGTGGACTCTACTATCTTGCTACAGACAGCCTCTCGAGTAAGCAAGTTCAGAAACCATGTTCTTCTAGTTTTTTATCCTTAGAGAATGAAATAATGTTATGGCACTATCGACTAGGCCATCCTAGCTTTGGTTATTTACGCCATGTGTTTCCTATTTTATTTAAAAATAAGGATGCTAATTCATTTCAATGTGAGATTTGTCAAATTGTTAAACATAAACGTTCTGTTTATCCTTCTGTCTTGCATGTCATCTAAACCTTTCTCTTATTCATAGTGACATATGGGGACCATCTAGGATTAAAAATCTCTGGCACTAAATGGTTCATAACCTTCATTGATGATCACACTAGAAACACTTGGATTTATCTTCTTAAAGAAAAATCAGAGGCTGCAGAAACATTCAAAAGTTTTAACTCTATGATTAAAACACAATTTGGAGCTCAAATACAAGTCCTTAGAACGGATAATGGTAGAGAATTTTTATTTGCACTGTTGGTTCGTTTCTCGCAGTCCGGGGCATTCTCCATCATAGTTCTTGTGTTATTACACCTCAACAAAATGGAGTTGCCGAGAGAAAAAATAGACATCTACTAGAGGTTGCCCGAGCTCTTATGTTTTCTATGAATGTTCCAAAACTTTTTTAGGGAGAAGCTATACTTCATGCTGCATACCTAATTAATAAGATGCCCAGCAAAGTGCTAAACTATCAAACCCCTTTGAAAACTTTACACTTATCATATCCTCTTAACAGAACTTTCACTGGTTTATCACCTAAAGTATTTGGCTGCACTAGTTTTGTCCACATTCATGATCTTAACAAAAATAAACTTGATCCAAGGGCAATAAAGTGTATTTTTTTTAGGTGTTTCACCAACTAAAAAAGCATATAAATGTTATGACCCAAGCTCGGGAAAGATATTAGTTAGTATGGATGTCACATTTTTTGACCATTTTTTTATCAAACTTCTCTTCAGGGGGAGAAAGAAATAGGAGACCAATTTTGGGAAAATATTGTGTTACCGATTCCTCTTACAAATTATGATAATCAAAGTAGGGCAGCTGATGTTGAACCTGTCATACCTATTATTTCTACACCTCGCAAAGGATCTGAAATAATAAATAATGTGGATCCCACATCTGAACTACGTGTTTACTCGAGAAGAAAAAGAAGCAAGGTATCAATTCCAGGTAACATCATTCCCACAACTTCTATTTCACATTTCCCTGATCCTATTCTTGAGACTGAGACTGATTCCCATGACCATAATTCCGCCTATTTTCTTCTTTTAATAAGTACTTTTAAAGACACGATGATTAAACATTGCATATAGAAATACTCAAAGGGAAAGTGATAGAGTTTCTCCAGGTATACAGAAAATTAACAGAAAGATGAACAGCAATTCAAAGAAACAACAGCAAACTTTATTAGAGATGAACAAGTAATCTGGCCGAAGCCCCCAAATGGCCGAAGCCCCCAAAGAGAGAGAGAGTAATTCTCAATCTTCCCAAGTCCCAAGACCCAAGTCTAAAACAGCCTCCTCCTTTCTCTCAGCTTTATTCTATTTATAGTATTACAGACTAACGGAAGGTAGTTAGTAGCTCAAACAGAAATATAACTACAACTAACTCTTCTATTTATTAGTCTAATAGGTTGATCCCTATCAATACTTCCCCCCTAAACATCCACCTTGCCCTCAAGGTGGGTGATAGGATCATAGGAAACAGCCAGAATATTCTGCTTCCTCTTCTTCCTGGCGCTTCTACCTTCCCAATATTTCACTGTTTTCAGAGCAAAGAGCTTTAGTACATAATCTTTCCAACTCACAAATTTTTCTGCAGCATAAAATATTTCTGGTGAAGTTTCATTTTCTTCACTAGCTTTTAAGCCTTCAATAGCCTTAAGTATTTCCTTGTCTTCCTCAGGTGTATCACCTACACCAGTAGCAAAAATTATGTTCATGTCCTGAACCTCTTTGCCAGTGTGATGCAACACTGAAACCGAGCAACATCTTGTGCATGAGAATACAAAGTCAACTCCTTGAGCACCAAGTGCATCATTCATAATCCTGTGGATCCCCATTCTGAGTACAGCTTCATTTCCTTCTATCACCATCATTTCATTAATTGCTCCATTTGTAACAGTAATGAAGTATGGCAGCCAATCCCCATTCTCATTAGTCACTGCAAAGTATTTCTGGTGCTTCTGCATGACCATTATCAGTAATTCGTTAGGAAGCTCTAGGAAGGTGTCCTTAAATTTTCCAAGTACTGACATAGGTGCTTCAACAAGATTTGCAACTTCATTAATTAAACCAGTCAGCACAATAGGATATCTATTTACACTCTTTGTAAAATCATCAGACTGCTCCAATATAAACTTTTTGTGTTGATCAACATCAACAAAATTCCCAGCATGTTGCATCAGATCGCCATAAGATGTTGCATCTACTACCTCTACAGTGGCAGATGGAGTGATATGTATACCATTCGAAACATATCCACTGAAGGGGTTGTTACGAGTGAGGGAATGTGTCATTGCTCCGGCTGTCTTTGCAGATGTCTCCCCACATGAGATAACTTTCAGTTGCTTTAAATGGCAGTATGTAAGTCAAGCTTGGAGTAGTCTAATATGCTCTCAACCCATGGCTGCAATTCTGCTTCTTGTATTTCAAGGTGTTGGGCATGGGCGCATGGCTAGACTTATCAGCATCATGAATCTGTGTGCGGTTTCCCCAGATGGTAGCAGATTCTTCAGAAAAAAGATAAACATGATCCTTATGAACCTCTGGTCGCGACCTCTTTTGTTCCAGGCCTAAATTTTCTGAAAACATTTCCTTTGGATATTGAGGTTGTTGTCTTTTGACAAGAACAGTTTTATTTTCTGTAATGTCCTTAATTTTAGGTAATCCAGTTTCAGAAGCAGTTAGAACTCTACTGCCAAAGAAACATGGGTGGATAAGCAGATCCACAATAAAAACTTGGCTGGGAATTAAATCCATATCGTCTGCAAGATTAGGAGAAACATAATCTTGCCATTGGATAATCTGTCCTTGCTTCTTGATTTCGCCCTTCTTATTTATTTTCTTGATTACAGATTCGGTTGGTTCCATCTCAGTCTTATTTATTGACTGGGAAAAATCTTTAGCAGGTTGAGAAACTTGCGAACTCAGCAATTCAGATAGGGAAGAATCTGGCGACTGCGAGTTGGGAGCTTCTACGTGTGTTTGTGAATAGGAAAGAGCTGATGGCAACTGCAACAAACTTTTTCTTTTCGAATTTATGCAGTGACGCACAGTCCTCGATCGTCCTCGCCTGTGACGTTGTTGCCGCAGCTTGGTGCGCATTTCGTCCAGCCCGGTCCTCCACTCCTTCGCCCAATCTCTTTCTACCTTTTCCTTGCTCTTCGCACGATTTTTATGCTCCAGGTTAGAACGCTTCTCCTTCTCCAGGTTAGAGCGCTTTTTCTTCTCTAGGCTTGAGCGCTTTTCTTTCTCCACTTTTCCGCGCTCAATGTCTTCCGCGAGCTTCACCATTTGTTCGCGCGACACCTTTCGCGATTGCAAACTAAGAGAAACAGTTCGCGACTCCGATTGAGGACTAGTGAGAGACTGCGATGGATTCTGTTTATCAGAACGCCGATGAGGTCTGGTGTTCCTTGATCGGTGCAAGCGCTGATTTAGACGTTCACAGTCACGTAAAATTTCTTTCAACCTATCGTTCGTCTCCTTCATCTGTTGATTCAGATTGTCAAATCTCTCTTCCATTGGCAGTGTCATATATAATTCTTCCATCGCTCCAGGTTATTGATATTCTGGAATCATCGATGACTCAGATTCTCCTCCAGGAAGTGGCGTACTCTGATACCAATGATAGAGTTTCTCCAGGTATACAGAAAATTAACAGAAAGATGAACAGCAATTCAAAGAAACAACAGCAAACTTTATTAGAGATGAACAAGAAATCTGGCCGAAGCCCCCAAAGAGAGAGAGTAATTCTCAATCTTCCCAAGTCCCAAGACCCAAGTCTAAAACAGCCTCCTCCTTTCTCTCAGCTTTATTCTATTTATAGTATTACAGATTAACGGAAGGTAGTTATTAGCTCAAACAGAAATATAACTACAACTAACTCTTCTATTTATTAGTCTAATAGGTCGATCCCTATCAGAAAGCACTTTATAGACACAATGATTAATCAGAAAACAACATATGGAAAACATACAATAAGTCGCATAAAGAGATGCAAAGCGTTCTGCATTCTGCGCCTCCAGGATATAGTCAATCTCTTCAAACATATGCCTCACCTATCAAGTCAAGCAAACCTAAGGAGTTAGGCAAGCACAAAAATACACAATGTAATCGAAGAAAGTGTAACATTAGCAAATAAAACCAACTGCTTCATCAAAAGAGAAAATTAGCCCACAATGACCGATAAATCAAACATCATGTATTCATACAATGTTGCCTTTCATGTTAGTATAAGCTATCATTCATGCACTCTTTAGAGATGCAACATTGTTAAAAGAGGACTCCTCAGAAATGAAGTGTCCACACAAAGAGGGAGAATTATCGTTTTACATACATCTTTGAACACTAATGAGTCCCAACCTTACATCTTCTGACCTTCAAAGGAGAGTAAAAAATGCACACACAATAGCGAAATATGAAAGCAAACGAGCTCAACTTTGAAGGTACAGAATGTAAATTCAATTACATCAACCAGGTGAACATTTAGCTCATATACTGATAAAACAGACAATCAGCCCACTCTACATTGTCAGACTTCTACCTTTATACAGTACCTTTTGTAGCAAAGTGAGGTGCAACCAGCTTCAAAGTATATTATCATAATATATACGTTTTCAGTACTACAAAATCATTTTATAAAGAGACATAATAATTCCCATTTGCTGAAAACATCTTTGAGGAAATCTGCTGATAAAATAGGATAAAGCTTCCAAAGCATAATCAGGAATGTGAAGCTTCTACTGCACTCTAAAACTACAAAAAAGAACTAAGGAATGAAGAATATGATCAACTAAAACTCTGATTATGTATTTCAATGTTTCCCTTTTACTGTTCTTTTTTTAGTAAGGATACAAAAGACCAGCGTTCTTATATAACTATTAAGACAATCTTTTAGTTTAGGACTCTCACCAACTCGTTCACAGCCACTAAGAGATCTTTACGAGCCTTGGCAAATCTTTTTAATTGGCCCCCAATCATGTGAAATAACATGGCATCAAGTGTCAACAAATGAGACATACCAGGCCTCTGAACTTTAACAGCTACGAGCTCTCCAGAGTGCAAGTGAGCTGAAAAACTTGAAGCAAGAAACAAACATTTAGCGTAAGATTAGTTTGGTGTCAGGCTTTGTCTTAACTGAAGACCTGAACCCATTATCCCTCATAGGCTCATAGACATGAATTCTTGATCCCCCAATCTCAAGAATGCAAAGGAAGCAATTACACATTCTCAACAAATCAAATAATTATCAAGGGTGAACTTTAATGTATACATCAAATGAAAAAGAAGATCCACAACAGCATCAATAATAACAATATTGCTAGTAGTAATAATAGAAGTACAGAACACAGCAAAGCAAATGATAATAGAATATATGTACTATGCAGGACCTCAAATTAGACGGGTGATGTCCCACAATATGCACAGATGGTCAAATAGAGCACCCATGAGTCTCGTGATAAGCTCAAATTATCTAACCTTTGTATACTTGTCCAAGAGATGCTGCTGCAATAGGTTCCCCACTAATATCAGCAAAAATCTTATGTATGGGGAGACCTAATTGGGTCTCAATTGATTTAGTTGCAACACGTGTTGCAAAGGGAGGAATTTGATCCTAGCAAATAAGAGACATACTCAAGTACAGAAAGACAAACAAATCCTCAACAAGATCATGCCATTATGATTGTATGATTTGTATCTAATAAAGACCAGCTTACCTGTAATTTAGCAAGTTCTTGGCAATATACTGTTGGTAGTATATCTGGCCTTGTGCTCAGAGCTTGTCCTAGCTGTCGATTCCAGAAAGAAGGAATGATCAGTAAACTCTTTTACAAGTAAAAGAATTATACTCCCTCCTCTCAATATGATTGCCCCTTTAATACTTTTTTCATTAGTTTTGCTAAAAAATGAATACAAAGAATATATGGTAAAACTACAGGGTTTAGCACTCAACCTGGGAAAGTGGAATAATAACCATTGGTGGTTCAAGTAATACTAAACAGACTGCAGTGGCTATGACTACAAATCAGAAGAATGTTATTTTAAAATATTGAAACAGTGACACCATGAACTTAATAAAAATATTCAACCCATTATTTATTAAGGCAGTAGAGTTTCATTCTATCAAGTATTAACACTGATATCGGTGTCTTCAATGTTAAGCATGCTAAAAAAACATGGTAAGAAACTAAAACATTTTCACGAGCACTCCAATACGGATGATGGGGTTGCCTTTGGCTAGAATTGCTGCAGTAACAAGGATTCAGTTAAAAGATACTTCGTATAAGGTACATGGCCAGTCAGTTTCTATGCAGAGTTTAAGCCATGGAAAAGCGAAAGCTAAAACCTGTGTGATCCTAGAGAGTTCTAACTCCCAATTCGTTGAATAATGGTAGAATAGAGTCAAAAAAATTATGACTCAACCTAATAATACGATCCCCAAATGGTGGCTTTCAGGAAAAGATGACAATTTTAAATTCATTCTTGATCTAAGGACGAGAAATATGCCTCTATTTGCCACCTGATTCATCTTACTCTGCCTCAAAAGGACCAATTAAAAATTTAAAATAGTAAAAACTCTGTAAGTGCCACATAATTAGCTAATTGCTACAGTTGCATCCAAATACGTATGAACTAACACTCATTCTCCCATTGAAGCATAATCATTCATTCTTCAAGCAAGTAAGCCAACAGCCAATATGCTTTGACTTTTGTAACCAAACAAAACTTGTCATTCAGAAGGGTACAATTCATAGTAATCATTGAAGTTTCACTAACATAGGATGTAGAGGCATGTAAACCTGCTACGTTTTAGAACTGTGGTCAGATCTCAATGTGAAACATTCAAGGATAGTTGAGTGAATTGTCATTTTACACGTCTTCATAGGTCAATGAAGCTGAAATACAAATGACTAGTGAAGATATTAAGAGACTCCATTTACTTAACTTGTGATTTTTTCCTGCTATTTCCTTCTAAAATAGAAGGCCTCAATTTCGCACTTTGTTTTCAACAACAGCCTCACTCACCTCCCCCCCCCCCCCCCCCCCCCAACTCATAAAGTTGCATGTAACAAATCAACTTCAATATTTCAGGAACGTTCTAAAACATATCAAGCAATAAAGTTCGTATTGCAGAGCAAAGTAAAGATTTTACCTTCACATAGAAAGGTCCCAAGCTGATGAGTGTTTGACGAAACTGCAGCCAAAAGTGTCAGGGTTACTACATTGGAAACCCAGAGTTACAACTCGAGGATTTCAATAATATTCATGTAAAAGACCACATGGTGGCATCTTTGACATTTTGACTCTATACTTCCAGTATTTCAGTCCATTATAGATATAAGGACTAAGTAGGGCCAACTTTGTGGACATAAGGCTGACATTTGATGATAAAGGTAACTACTTGATCATTGCATTACAAAATGTTCACCGCCGTAAGGTGCTCCATATAGATTATGTTAATAATGACATGAAATTTGACCAACGAAAATCCTGAATCTGCCAAGTGACACATATCAAACCACAGGATTCAAAGATGCAAAGTACCCCTGGAATACCATGCCAGGTGCCCAGAAATTTGCGTCTTTCAGAACTCCATGATCGATCAATATCATACTGCCTTCCTTCTACTTATATAGCTTTACATTGGTCTTTCAATGGACCATGCGAAAGATGATATCAAAATATCCTTGACCTACTCACCTACATACCACAGTGTTTTAGAATTCAAAATATTGCAATACCTCCACCTTACACACTCACGAATTATGTTTCCATCATTGATTCATATATAGGGTGTCAGGATTGCATGTCAAAAACTCAAAATAACTGTAAGGAGTGTGTGATCATGATCTCGTCTAAGGATGAGATTAGCTGGACAGAAGAGAAGGTATAACATGTGTGGTGGAATGTCTGTGATCTTTATTATGAATCAGAGTGAGAGGGTTAAAGAAAAGCTTAATTCGAATTAACCCCGCGGCCAACTTTTTCAAGACACATCAGAATTAATTCTAAAAGTGGTTTATTAAATTAACTGAGGACCCCTTATATATAGCTAATTACAAGAGTGCCAAACTGAAAAGGAAACATAGAATTAATAAAAAGTGCCATAGAATTAAGAAAGCAGTAAAAAATATTTCAATAAACTTGTTCCCCATGTCAACCACTTTTGGTGGATCCCTTGGGCTGATTTATGCCGCGATGTGCCCCCTTTCGGCTAAAATGATGCCTCTATTAAGTGCGACCCCAGAAGCTTGTCATCAAGGTCAAAAGCTAGATGAATGGCCCAATATATATATGTCTGCTGGTTCTCAAGGCTTCATCAAGCAACTTGCCACACCAATAGACAAAAAAAATCCATATTGTCACGGTTTAACCTGCTACACACAATGAGTAGGGCCATGGTCTTCAGCCATTATTGGCATTGTGCTCATGGAAGCTGGATGGGGCATTTGTGTGCATTCATATAGAGACATGGAAGACATCATAAATGTGCACTGGCTCCATGGTAGAAAATTTAATTTGTATGCCAGCTACCTCACGGTCCCACCTGAGAGAATAGTGACATTGTGCCCATGAAACTAAGGTTATAGTTTATGGTTATTGAGGCCCAGGGAGAGCTGTCTGCCACTGAGGATGAATGTGGAGCCAGGCCCCAACACCATCTGCAAACATAAGATCTGGATACTTCAAATTGTAGCATGCATTCTTTGGCTTGAGTGAGGTGTTCCCGAGCATGAGCTAAGAGCAAGCCATTCTAGGAACATAACAAGGGAGTATGGGTGGATCCCGGCAATAAACGAGATGGAAGGGAGTATCTCACTATCCCCTAAGCTGGTGTGGTAAGAAGTGTTATAGCAGATTCAACCCAGGGAAGTGAGGGAACCCACTCCTTTAGGTAATCACTTGTGATTTGTGAGAAAACACAGATACATCCTCAAGGTGAGGTTCCTGGCTCTTATACCAAATCCTTAAGAGTGTGAAGCACGATCTCATTCAAAGCCAAGGCCGACTAAACATGATAGAAGGTAAGAGATGGCAAAAGAAGGTAAGAGACGGGCGGTTGGATGTTTCGAAACAATGATTGCGAATCAGACTGAGAAAAATAAAGAAACACGTGATTGAGAATTAACCCAGTGCCCAGCCTTGTCAGGACACAAGAAATAATTCTTCTAAAATTGGGTAATTAAATTAATGTGAGGACTACTGTAAATAGCTAATGCAATAGTCCCAATCTCAAAAGGAAAACATAAAGTTTTAATACTAATACAGTTCATATAAAAAGAGACTCCGTAACATAGAAGAATGCAGCAAAAATTACGAAAATATATTTGCTCCCAACAGTCCCAAGTCCCAAGTCAGCCACTTTTGGTGGTTTTGGGCTGATTTTCGCCGGGGCGAGCTCCCTTCAGCGGCCCCATAAATTGTCCATAACAATAACTTAGGAGGGAAGATTTACTGATCTACTATGTAACTAAATGCATGAAAGATCGAGAAACGCAAAAGGCACCAAAGATCAAAATATAACATGAAACAATTAGATCATGGTTTAAAAAAGCCTTCCAGGCGTATGCTTGAGGCACGCCTCAGTGCGGAACTGTGGGTTTTCCCCTTGAAACTTGAAGCTTTCTGCCAGGACTGTAAATGTATGTCTTAACCCCTTGAGCGTCTGAGACTCACACAGTCACACCTTCTATCATGGAATTCTCTGTCCTTCTTTAAAGCCTGGGTAAGGATTGTTTGTTTGGACTGATTGAATTTCATAAAAAAACTTGTGGGATTCTGCCCAGGTAGATTTAGGCTTCTGCACAAGTATATTTAGGCTTCTGCTCAAGTATACCGCAAATACTTAGGCTACAATTAAGAATTCTAAGATCTATGTATTATGAGGGCAGTCCCTTAGGCTTCTGCCTCAATTGTTTCAATAAGACATACGCACAAGAAACTCTGCATCTCTCTTGTGCATAGATAAACTCGAATAAACCTGCGCAAGTCTCAGTTTAATTGTTTGGTTTTTTAATAGACTTTTATGACTAATTTAGTAATCATATGTAATCATATATACTCTTTACTTCTTTAGGACTTCTATATTTACAATTACTAAGTGAGGCTTACGCCTCAAGAGGCTAAAGAAAAATGCATCCAGGCTTCTTACACCTTTTCAAAACTTGTATTAGATACCTTAATAGCTCGCTTTTTTATGTCGTGCACGAAAAAATGCCAAATGGACATCTTGAACACATGGACTGAGATTATTGCTGCTCTGTACAAAGCCAGGAATGGGCCAAAGTGGTATAGTAATGATACACTTTTTGATCTGTATGTTCCAAGAGCATGTCCGAATTTGTCTTCCAAAGATTCTTTCCTCATCTTTGCATACTCAGATGTTGGCCTTTCACCATGAACACTGGAGAACCTGTAAGAGAAGCTGCAGAAAAGACATAAACGCATGAATTTTATCAATGCATATAAATAAATAGGAAAACTGTTCTACATAGAAGGAACTAGGAAAAGAAATGGAGCATAAACATATTTAACTTGTTAACTCAATCGGCATCTTTTGAGATGAACTACCACCAAAGGTCTAAGAGTTAGATGGTTAGCATTCAATAAACAGATTAATGTTTTCTTAAGTTCTCACTGTGCCACATTGTGTAGTCCAAGGATCACTAACATCTTTACAGTTAGCACATCTGTATAGACCTTAGACCATTAAAGAAATTGTTCATGACATACAGCTAGATACCTCCTTTGATCCTATTATTAAACATGATATGGATGCTACTTTTTCATGGTCCATTTTCCAAGAAATAGACCATTTTTCATTTACTCAAACCTACTGTTTCTTTTCATTTGAGTGAAGGAGGTCTTGGTGCTGGCCATGCTGTGAGTATGTGACTACTCAGTACTCACTACTCCAATAAATCTGGGCACAAAAGAACACGAGGTTGGAAGTTACCCCACCATCTTCTAATAGGATATGGCTTCACCAAAGTCCGGATTCTCAAACAATCTCTCAAAAGATCTGATGTAGAATTGTAGATTAGCGCTGACACTAGAGTGGCCCATAAATAAGGAGCTAGTGTTGCACGTCCCCCACTAAAAAACACTTCTTCATTCATTCAAACTAAGTTTTATAAGTTTTACCATCGTTATATTTGGTGACTCTAAAAAGATATTGCTGACCACTTTAGTAAAGACACGCCTCTTGACTTATTTGTTTCTTGCCTTTGTCAACTTATTCGCTTATACCATTCCGTGGACTCTATTTCATTGGGAAAAAACTTATGACTGGGACCACTGTTTCATAGAAAATTTGAGGAAATAACTTCTTTCAAGAAGAGACAGTAATGTTCATGAACATCTTTTGGATCAAAATTTAAATTGTACATATAACAACTTAACTTCCGAGCAATATTTGGAAATGTGAATTGCACAGTTGAGACAAATTTATATAAAAATATTATAAAAAATATTAGAAATCAATTTAAATGATATGTAGCATAATAAAACAATCTCTAATGTCCAATAAATCTGTAGTCAATACACAAATAGTAATGGGGTCATAAATCTGTCAAAATATAATGTTAAACATCACAAAATAGTAAACGTTGCCTAGTCTAGTTAACGTTTAAAGTTTATTCCATTGAGCAATGATAATTAGGGTCATCAATATGTAGTGATTCGAAAAAGCGATAAAACTCAACATCAAATCCACCATTTCATAAATATATTTGATAGATTAGATTTTTTATGTGTTCATGTATCTTACCATTCATGATAAGATATGCTTCATGATTTGAAAAATAGGTATTATTGATTCATGACTTGAATCTCGATTTGATAACCCTGTTCTTTAGAACAAGTTCCAGCAATGTTAAATAGTTCAGGGCATGTTATTTTACATTTAGATCAGTGTTATAAAAAGCATCAGACACTCAGATAGTTATTATCATTGGGGCCTAGAAACTATTTCAGCTTAGGCGGGGTGTAGTCTGGGCCTGGGCAGGTTAGGCAAGGGATGCTAAACCTAAAAAAGAGAAAACCAGAGGAGGGCCTAGTTTTAGAACAACTATTTCGATTACACTAGATTACTAGAAGGTCCTCGAGTCTTTTTGACACACATACCTCCACTAAACGATCAGTTAACAACTGAACATTTTCACTTTGATTCTTTAAGTAGCATTTCCCATCTCTTAAACGTCTAAACAATTCAAAAATAAAAAGTCTTGCATTTTCCTCAATCAATTATTGAGTGCTGAATCATATATATAGGGGGTTCAAATAAAGAGGAGTCTTAAAGTGTAAAATAAAAATTAATCTAAGTCAGTTCAAACTGTCACCACGTCTAAATGTTGGAAAAGTGCATCAGATAAGGTTTATTCGAAAAGTGCATTATTATATATGGGTTTTTCGAAAAATATCATATTGACAGTTCGGCTGAGATTAATTCTTATTTTGCACATTAAGGCTCTTTTTAATTTGAACCCTCCGCTTTATTTTATTTGAACTCTCCTTGTCTCCCATAGTCCCTTACACACACACACACACATTACACATATAGCAGCAACAGTACTACAACAATGAATTATTATTATAGGTACATGTCGGTTCTCAAAAACTCAGCAAGATTTCGTAACATGTATGACAACTTATAAAAAATCATAAAGATCAGTATTAATCAAAATCAAAATGCCTCTCAAGCAGCAATCTATTTGCATCCAATAAATGAAATAAATACGCTATCAATCGAAAACGTCAGGTATTAGCAATTTGGTTGTGAGCTCGTAAATTCAAATCTTACGAAAATCTAGATAGACGACATTTAGCGGAAGAAAAATACAGCAAACGTGAAGCCATCGTCAATGGTCTCCTGGTTCTTGGGGCACTAAATTAGCATGCGCGCGTTGGGGCACAGAGGACTCTTCTTTCTAGTTTGCGCTGCAAATCTGTGAGCAAGCAACGTAGCAGGAGAAGGTTCTCGTTGAATGTGCGTGGCGTCTTGCTTAGAGGACAAGTGCATACCTGTCAAGTGTCAACAATGTACACACATGATAGCAACGCACACTTTGATTCTAATTAGATACGGAGTATAATTTTATATTACTAAACATTATAAAAAGTTATTACTTTCAAAATTCTCTCTAATAGAAATTTAATAATATTTATAAATAATAATTTGATCAAAATAACGTGTGAATAGTGTAAAAATCTCAATATAAGTATTAATTACTAAAGTACATTTCTCTCGTGTTCTTAGGATAGCATGTTTTTGATGATTTTTTTTCTCAATAATCTCAACTTATATGTCTACATATAGGCATTCTTTTTATATTATGGAGAAAAATCGATAAAAACGTATAAGAAAGAGATATTATGGGGTATTTTGTTTACTACTCCATAATATTTATATATTTATCGATTTCATGTCACATTATGACATTAGAGATGCTCTTATTGTCTAAACAGTTCGATTTGTAACTAACCATTTAGTAAGAGATGTACCTGATGGGGTATATGGCCCGGGAACCCCCGGCCCACAGACTCCTACTACTCCAGCGAAGGCCCAACAGGCCCAAATCACAGCGCCCAGAGTACCAAGCAGTCCGCACAACGCGCCAGGGGTGCCTTCAGCCCCCTGGCCGAAGGCTCCAAATTCTCACAGAACGGGTTTCTCAAGCAAATTAAGAAACTGGGAGAAAACGGCGAAAACAGTAGCCCTCGGCACTGTGAGCCCTCGGCACCAGGGTGCCATCGGGTGGAAGAGCCCTCGGTTACTGCTCTATAGCCGAAGGCATCTCACTCGACAAGATATCCGCCTCACATGCGTACAGATCACCGTACCCCGCACAGACGTCCCATCCAACAGCCGCATTAAATGCGGCCACATGCGGCTGCCAGCGCCAACCAGTTGAGATGACCCCTCGGCCAATAAGCGCTTGACACGTGTCCCTACCCGGCATTTATTGCTACTATAAATAGCACCCCATTTCCTCATTTGTAACCACGCTAAAAACGGCATTCATATTGAATACACTCTCTCTCTACTTTTACTTGCTTGCTCTGACTTCTCTCTAAGTTATTCCCCGAAATAACCCTTCGGATATATACCTCCGGGTAGACTATCCATCATTTGATGCTCTCGTTGAGAGGTTGAACAATCGAGTAAGAAACCCTCCCCCTCGACCAAACACAAAACACTAGCCCTCTATCAAAATGGTGAGGACAACACGTGCCAACTCAAAGAACGTAGAAGACAAGAACCTGGCCCTCGGCGACGTCAACGCCCCCGAAGCCTCTCACAGGGCTCCCGAGGGCGGTGTCACCGCTGGGCTGGAACAGGCGGCTGTCGACCTACGCCTTCAGATCCAACAAAATGCCCCCGATGCCCGCCTCGGCATCGAGGCCAAGAAGAAAAACCGGAGCGATGACCAAGTCAGCCCTCCGGTTCTCACCATCGCCGTGCAATCGGCGCTCTCCGCCTTCATCCAGACGCTCACCCAGAACCCGGGTGCCTTCGGCACCCTGGCTCCAGCTCACCCTCAGATCGGGGAAAATATCATACTTCCCCCTCTGCCACACCCCTTCGGAAATCCCACCCCTCGGGTGAGAAACGACGAAGGGGTGGTGGCCCAAGATACGTCCTCCCAGGAAGTTCAGTCCCGGGACCGCCATAATGACAAAAGGGAAAGGCCCCGTACTTCCGCCCTCAACCGGCTCGGAGGAGGGCCAGACCGTCGAGGGGTCCAAGACCGCCTCGGGGGGGAAGCACTCCAAAAGCCCCAGGAAAGCGGGGGATCTGTTTCGAGGGCAGACGAGGAGCGTCCCCCTCGGGACAAAGGCAAGGCACCCCTTCATGCCGATGATGCTCGGCACCAAATCAACCAGGCCCACTCGGCCCGGGTTCGTTCGCAGGGGGCGGAGACCCTCCCGAAGGATCCCCGGGACGAGATTATTGCGGCCCTCCAACGCCGGCTTGACGAGATGGAGTCCAACAAAGCTCACGCCACCACCTCCACCCCTCATTCAGATCTCAAATACGAGGCCATGATGGCCAAAATGGAGGAGTTACAGAAGAGGGTGGACAAGGGCTCCGGGGAACCCGTCATCCAGCTCCGGACTCGGACGCCATTTACCCCAAGGGTATTGGCGGCCCGGATCCCGGAAAAATACCGAGGGCAACACATACAGCCCTACAACGGGAAAACGGACCCCCAGGAACACTACAGCAAATACCAGAACAGCATGATGATGGTGGGGGCGTCAGACGAATATTTGTGTCGATGGTTCCTCTCCACCTTAGAGGGACCGGCATACGAATGGTTCAACAGGCTGCCCGAGGGCTGCATTGATTCGTGGCAAGAACTCGCCCAACGATTCTTGACACAATTCGCCGGGAGGCGTCGCACAAGGAAGCACTTCTCCCACCTCCTAACAATACGCCAGAAGAAGGATGAGACCCTTCGGGATTTCCTGGAGCGCTGGAGGACGGAGGCCGACAAGGTCGACGGTGCTGATGACGGGACCCTCCTGGCCCTCCTACAAACCGTCCTCCGCACCAGTAACTTTTCAAGGAGCCTCATCATTGAACCCCCCCCCCCCCCCCCCCGCGACTACATAAGGGCTTTGCAGCGGGGGGACCGATATGGTGAGGCCGAGGAGGTGGAGAAGTATCACCAGCATCCGGACCAGCAGCCCCCGAGGGCTGACAACAAGCATAACCGGGGGCCGGGGGCTCCTCCAAATCACCCCAAGGCTTCGGGACCCTCTGATGACCGCCCTCGGCAAGGCCAAGCCAAGCCCGGGGGAGGTTATAAGAGCAACCCTAAGACTTGGGCCCAGCCCATTCTCCTGGACCGCCCTCGGACACCATTGACGCACCCCGTCAGCATCATCCTCGATTTTGCCGAGGAGAGGGGCCTCGTTGAGCGCGACTCTCGCGTACCCCCGAAGGTACACGCTATCAACCCTCAGTTCCCCTACTGTCGCTTCCATCGGCACCAGGGGCACAGGACCGATGACTGCCATCAGCTGAAGACGGCCATCGAGAGATTAATACAGGCGGGGCACCTGTCCCAATTTGTCCAGAGCCCTCGGCAGGAGGGGCCTTCTCATCAGGGACCTCCCCGAGGGCACCGTACGAAGGTAAATGCCTGGGTAAATCCGAACACCATCCCCCTCGGCAAGAAGAGGGAGATCGGAAACTTGGAAGAAGAGGAGGAGGAGTACCCCCACTACCAGGAGAAGAAACGCCACATCCTCATGATCACCGGTGGCAATACAGGGGGCGATTCCACCAGCCAGCGAAAGAAGTGGGCTCAATCGCTTTACGTGGGGGAAGTCACTCATATGCCCCCGGTAAAGAGACTGAGGGAGGAACCCATCATCTTCACCAACGCAGATCTCCCTCCTACTTCTTCTCCTCACAGGGATGCCTTGGTGATTCGGACGGAGATAAACGACACCATTATTCACCGAACTTACATTGACACGGGCAGCTCCGTCAATGTAATGTACCTCAGCACCTTCAGAGAGCTGCGTCTGGAGAGGGGGTCCCTTCGGCCCATTAAGACCCCTCTTGCCGGCTTCACCGGCGACACTATTGATTCCGAGGGGGTAATAACCCTCCCGGTAATCTTCGGAGACGGGCTCCATAGAGCCCAGCTCGAGGTGGAGTTCGTCGTCGTCAACATTGACTGCGCCCACAACATCATCCTCGGCCGGCCAGCCCTCGAGGACCTTGAAGCCATCATCTCCATGAGGCATCTCTGCCTCAAGTTTCCCACCGAGGGGGGAATTGGCTACTCCCGGGGGAACCAGAAAATTGCTCGCGCCTGCTATCTTCAGGTCACTAAGAAGGTAAGCAAGACGGAATTCCGTGTTGACACCATCACCGGAACCATCGACCAAGAGGAAAGAAGGCCGAGGGCTGAACCGGCCGAGGACGTAGAAGACTTCGCGCTCGATCCGGCCCAGCCGGAGAGAGTCGTGAAGATTGGAGCCCAGCTCCCTGAAGATTTGAAGACCGGCATCACCGACGCCCTCCGCGCCTACTCCACTGTCTTTGCATGGGGGCCGGAGGACATGCCGGGAATAAGCCGAAGGGTCATCACCCACCGCCTCTCGGTGGACCCCTCGGCAAAAGCAGTGCAACAACGAAGGAGACCCCTCTCCGCCGAGAGGAGGGAATTCGTGAAGAAGGAGGTCGCCATGCTCCTCTCAATCAAGCACATCAAGGAGGTGAAATACCCCTCATGGCTAGCAAATGTAGTCCTCGCACAGAAGCCCCCTACCTTCCGCATGTGCGTGGACTACACCGATCTCAACAAACTGTGCCCTATGGATCCATTCCCTCTACCAAACATTGATCAATTGGTGGATGAGACCGCGGGGTGTGAGATCATGTCCTTCCTCGATGCCTTCCGAGGGTACCATCAAATTTTCATGCACGAGGAGGATGCCGAAAAAACTGCCTTCATGACTCCCGAGGGCATCTTCTGCTACCTAGTGATGGCCTTCGGCCTAAAGAACTCGGGGGCCACTTACACCCGGATGGTGGCCCAGGTCTTTCAAGCCGTCCTAGGGCGCACCATGGAGGCCTATGTTGACGACATGATCGTCAAGAGCAAACAATCTTCCAGTCATGCTGACGACCTCCGGGAAATCTTCGCCATCATGCAAAAATTCAACCTTCGGCTAAACCCGAAGAAGTGCACCTTCGGCGTCCAAGGGGGCAAGTTCTTGGGTTACATGGTGAGCCGAAGGGGTATTGAGGCCAATCCCGAGAAAATCCAGGCCATCATCAACATGGAGCCCCCACGCAATGTGAAGGAAGTTCAACGATTGACGGGCCGCCTGGCAGCCCTCAACCGCTTTCTATCTAAATCGGCGAAGAAGTCTCTACCCTTCTTCCATATCATGAGGAAGACGGCTGGCTTTCTATGGACTCCAGAATGCCAGGGGGCTTTCGATGAGCTCAAACGATATCTATCTTCACCTCCTGTGCTCTCCAAACCCAAGGTAGGGGAGACCCTCTACCTCTACCTTGGGGTTAGCCCGGCGGCCATCAGCTCTGTGCT